ACATATATATATACATATATATATATATATATATATATATAAGCTGTTGCGGATGATTTTAAGCCAATGTCATCAAGTCCACAGCTGTTGAAACTTAGCTTACCAATTATTTCCTTACATGGATTAGAACAGTGACATACTTCACTCAGCAGGCAGAAAAAGTAAAAATAAGTTTTATGTAGTTAAATTTGTATGAAATTTAAGGACGTACATTGCTGCGAAACTTCAGAATAGATTTGTTCAAACTTATTTATACATAAGCATTTCACTGATTAAACCAAAAAATCGATAACCAACTATTAAATTTTTGAATGACATGCAGAGAGTACTGAAATTATGGCCGTCAGTATTTTTGTTGCCGTTCGAATAATCGTAGTCAATAACGAGATTTTGGACAAATTTATTTACTTTTACAGTGGAAATTAATATATTCATGGATAGTTGGAAATTTACTACAGTTACAGTTTGCACTTTTTCAAGGTAAAATTATGCAGCATTCATAAGGCAACCAGTAGTTTTCAAGTATTGGTTTCTAGGGATTTGATTGATTGGTTACAGGATTTCATCATGAGCTGACATCGAATAGAAAACCATTGGAAAACCTGGGAGTAATAGACAGCTGCTTCGTCCTAGTTCCGGACTCTTCAACGGTACGCACGCACCATCGCTTCAGGGTTCGAACCCAGGATCTGCTGCACCCTCCTGGTCACGACTTGACCACCACTACAACAAAACGTAGTCTCTGATAATAATAACATTTGGAAATATGCTCCAAAATCCAGAGTGAGACTATGATTCAAACAATATTTTCAATAAAAGTGTTAAGAAATATGGTCCGTCATTATCCTATTCCAAAATGGAAAGTCTACACATACTGAGTTGACAATCACTAACAGTCAGTGCCGTGATAGTACACTGATGGTTGTTTCTGGAACAGCATCACCTCAGTCGGGTTAATTTCAGTACTCAATCATTTTAATATAATGAAGACCCAGTTATCTAATGATTGTAGCTTGATTCTTTAGGGAAAGAATATAAATATACAGAAGCTTATTTTTTGGTATGTTTCCACATTTCATTGAATTGCAGAGTTAGCACTGAAGGTCTACTGAAATGAACGCTGCGCAATAAAATCATCCGACTTGAAGAACACAATAAAATCGCCCACTGATCTCTATTATTTTCAGAACAATGTACATCTGAACTGATGTTTCAAACTCTGTTGATATCCGTATTATCGTACTTCCACTAGCTATCATAGGATTTTTTAACATATACTTTACGAATGGAACATGGGGCTTCAGACAAGAGCCTTAAAGTATCAGTAGCAGTGGTTTCACTTGTACAGGGTGGGGTTGAAATCCTCATGCCCAACTTTCCTTCTTTATCGGCCTTACTACCAGCTCAGACACGTGTAGGAGTGCGTCGGCTGAGGATTGGACTCTGAACCACTTTTGGGTTGGTTGGTGATCATAAGAAGCAAGTATTAGTATAAAGCTTCTTAACATTTATCACAACACCAATGCACTATATAGACTATTACTTTCATGGGTGAAGTTTCCAGTAACCCAATGTCTGTTTTTTTGTGATACACGTCAATTACTACTTCGGATTATGATCTTTAGATATGTCTTTGAATTTTGTTCATATGCCTAATCAATTTTCTATTCATGCACATAAAGGAAGTAAGAAAGTTGTGTAAGTAACTTGACATGATTATGAGCAATAATTTGTGCTCGAAACGTCATCAGTAAATATTACTGTAGTTTCTTTGCATGTTTTCTCTCTGACTTTGTGAGGTGTAGTAATCTGGATGGCTGTACTTTTGTGCAAAGTCTAAGTTGAAAGCTCAGTTCGATTCACCTCAGTTTAGACATATCTATACGGAGCTATTCTGCAATAAATTGTTTACGTGTAATTAATTTCAAAACCAATAATGTAGTCGTTCAATATGATTCATAGAGCTGTTAGTGAAATTCGCAAACTTAAAAAGATTGCGAGAATCAATAGTGATTAAAGAAAACAACCAACAAACGATAACTGGATTTATCACTGGTTTAGATACGCAAAAAAAAGACTGCCTAAGATTCTTGTAAACTGACGCATAATGCAGTAGTCTTCACGATATGTCACCAAGCTCAGTAAGCATAAAAGAAATTCAACTCGTAGGTTGTGATAATAACATATGTGAACACTAAGATATGTGAACATATAGTACAGAAATTTGCAGCGTATTTGGTTCCAAAATATTTCCTCTTCATACACTATTTTCATGTGAAGTAATCATCTGAAGTATTTCATGCGACGTAGAGTTGTTGCGTATGAAGAAAGAACCAATCCTGTACACTTCTTCATTTCCTTCAAGAACTGCACAGCACTTATTTGGATATGAGCGCGAGTTCATGTAGTGATTATTTGATACTATTGTATCACTAAAACAAAAAGAAATGAAGAAGAGTTTAAGCACTCTTGTGGATGGCAACTCTGGTAGCCCAGCGATTCAAAGTAGGTCAATTGTGCTCAATATTATTGACTAAGCAGCTGCGTTAGAAGGAGACAGTCGTAGCTCTACCAATAAGTGAAAAACCGTGTGGTGATAAGAACTGCATATCTCAATAACGTAGTAAGGTATGTTGACTAAAAACAGTTGTTGATGCAAGCTTTATCCTAGAAAAGTTCAGGTAAGGTGGAAACAATCAATATCATAGTGTAGGTTGTCGACACTATTGTGCACAGTTAAGTGTCGCTTTATAAATGAGAAAACTAGTGTTTGACAAGTGTGGAGAAAATGGGAGGGGGGGGGTGATTGCCCATCCTGATATAATCTACGACAAATCATATCTGCCCGCGAGGTTTACAGTATGAAATAGAATCCATCAACAGACAGACTATTTGTGACTATCTTCCCGTAGGTGTGCTCTTGGCTGATAGCTCATGAGAAAACCACTGCCTTTACTCGAAAGAAATCAACTTTCACAGTGTGTACAGGCTAAAACTATCTTCACGAATTTATACGTGCACAGAGTACTTCAACTTCCACCCCCCTCCCACACACATTTTCACTATTTGCTTATGAAATGTCGGCACGGATGTGAAACGCTCCTTTGGCATTTCCCAGACGTGTGTACTGTTCACCAATTCATTCTATCATACTTTACACCAAAAAACATACCAATCGAAAAGCGGAAATATGAACAGATTAGCATCAACAGACTGTAAACACCGCCATTATCACGCCTATGCCACATTTAATGTTGATATGGAGAGTGGGAACACCACAAGACTCAGTCTTAGTTAGGTAAGGACTGCAAACCAATGCATCAGGTTGAGAAGCTAAGATGCATGTTAAGCACGATAAGCTAAAATCTCCTCGACGAACGATGTTAAACGAATCTGCATTAGCCTCGAAGAGTTAGGCTTCGTCAGATACAAACATGGACATCACATCAACCCATCAGGTCTTTTTCATTGTTGATTTGAATGAATAACCATGTAGGGGGGGAAGCGTTGACTGTCCGGCTAGTGTACACAGGATGATGGGAATCAATGGTTGTGGCAAGACTCAAATCCATTACCAATCTCTCAAATGTATGCACTTTTGTGAAAAGTCCTACGTAATCAAGTCAGTCGTAGCAAAGTCATTTCGGCATTCTGTGACATTTGAAACCTTCGTGTTAACAAGGATTGAAAAAGGGTGTTAATGATTACCAAGCAGTATACAATCTAGATGTCGCATTATCTATGGATTGACAATTTCTGTTCAAATTTGAAGACCAAAGAATAAATTGGGAAACACACGGTTCGTGAGAGCCTCAATCTTAGAATTCAAATATGGGACAAATGTATTACCTTCAAACATCCCTTAGCTGACATCAGTTCATTATGTAAGCTATTCTTAGATATAAATATAAAACTTGGGCACTTTGGTAGAGCATAACTCCATTATGGATAAGATTTTATTTTGATAAATCACGCAGTGTTGTACAGTAATATTAACTGATGACGTTTCTAGCATAAACTATTGCTCATAATCGTATCAACTAGACCTGGATTTATGTTTGATGTCACACAAAATCGAAGACATACAAGCGAAAACCGACAAACTGGTCAAAGAAGCAGCCGGTGAAGGCAGGACTCCAGGTGAACATAGACAAGACGGAGGTTATGAAAATAACCAACCAACAACAACACCAGCAGCAACATTCAGCGCAAATCACCATCAACGGGAGGGATTTGAAAGAGGTTACTTCATTCACTTATCCAGGGAGCATTGTCTCAAATGCAGGAGGAACGGACGAGGATGTCAAATCGAGAATCGGGAAGGCGAGAAACACATTCATCAACCTGAAACCAATCTGGAAATCTTCGTCACTCAGCATCAACAACAAAATTCGGATTTTCAATACAAACGTCAAGTCAGTCAGTTGTTCTATACGGATCAGAAACTTGGCGGGTCACAAAGAATATTTCCAACAGCCTGTTGCAGACCTTTATCAACAACTGTCTTCGCTCTATACTGAAAATCAAATGGCCGGAAAGAATCACAAACAAGAAGCTATGGGAAAAAACAAAACAAGAACCAATCGCCCAACAAATATGCAGGAGAAAGTGGAGATGGATTGGACACTCGCTGAGGAGGCCGCTGGGTGACATCGCACGTCAGGCCATAGCTCGAGTGGAACCCGAAAGGGAGGCGGCGAGTGGGACGTCCAAGGGTGACATGGAGGAGATCGTGTGAAGAGGAGTTGAGACAGTATAGATTAACATGGATGCAAGTGAAAAGTACAGCAGAAGATAGAAGCAAGTGGAGGCGTGCAGTTGAAGCCCTATGTTCCACTAGGAACCCAAGGGAACAATAATGATAATAATGGAGTTAAGCTATTCTTAGGTTCACCTAACCTCCTGAAAGCCATCAAAATGATAACTGAACAGCACTGTATCTTAAACGCAATAAATGTTCAAAACAATGAAACAGTGTATCAGCAAGCAAGAAAGCAGCATTTCAAGGTATCACTTTAATGTAAACATTTCTCTTTTTCTTTTTAGCTTTCATAATAGTTTAGGAAAGTTTTCAAAGATAAAATAGTTACATATCCACAATGAGTCATACATTGATGCATATTATGTCAAGACAAAAAGATAAATAGTTCAACATGGAACACTTCCAGCACACAATCTCCTGATTTGACGATAAATATTAATCAATAAAACAAAAGAAAATGCCCAATTTTCAATCTATAAATCTGCAAATTTATACTGAAGAAAGTATAGGAAATAAACTAGGGGGAAAAAGAAACAAACGACCAAGGGAAAATGTCACAATAAAAGTAATATTATGATGACAGCGACATAAAGAAGTACATTTTTAAAAAAAAAAGTCATTTAAATGGCTGAGATCAAAGAAAATTTGTAATGCATGTGAAAGCGACAGCAACAACAACAACACCGCTAGTTTTGTAATTGAAAATGAGAACAAAACTATAATAGCTGGTGGCTTGTTATTGTCCTTCCCCTAAGGATATCTATAAGATACGACACATCAACCGCAAGTAGAACCAAACACAACATAATCTTGGGGAATTGAATAAAATGAAATAAAATAAACTAAAACCAGTAGAACACACACACACACACTGGTTCTTATTTATTCAATCAATTCACAAATAGTCATTAAAACGAGAGATGAGAGATTCAGTTTTCTGTAAATAAGCATACGATAAAAATTAGTCCATTTTTTTTGGAAATAGTTGAAGAAAGTAAAATAAAAACAGTAAAACAAGGAGAATAGTACATATATCTCCAGGAAAAATAATCATAATAATAACAGGGATATGGTTAGCGTGGACAATCAGATTTACTTTAAAGTAATAGGTAATAGAGAGAATATTACATGGGTAAAAAAGTGCAATCTCACACTGAATATCTTCGACAACAACGAAAAAAAAAGAACAACATTCAGAGCAATAAGAAAAAAGGTTGAATATCCAGGGAAAAATAAGCGTTATCTGACTTGTTTATTAAAATAAGCTTTTTCAGTTGCCTTAATCATACTACTTAATAATAAGATTTTCAATTTTATAAATATATACTCAACAAGAAGGACAAAAAAGACAAAATAAAGGAATCGGTAAAAGCATCACAATTTGTAAATTTAAATTGTCCGCAGAAAAGTATATTTACAAAAATGAAGTCAGTATATATAAGGGCATGCGCATATGACGAAAAAAAAACAAAAACATCCAGAAGTAAATAAATACATAAACGAAAAAAATAAAAATACAAACACTCGAAGAAAGAGACACACAACTACTAACTTGCTGGATTATAGCCACGACGTCTGTGATAACCTCTATCTTTCATTACATTATAATTATTATTATTACTGTCATAATGATGAGGATAATAATACCCATTCCAGACAGTTGACAGTGTAGAATATTTACGATCAAGGTAAATCATCAATATTAAAATAGTGGCAATGATCAAAACTACTGCATATTTCGGTATTAGACTACGACTGAATTTACGAAAAGGAGAAAAATTACGATTACGCAATAAAAAAGTGATTATCATACCAATGGAAATACCAATTAGAAAATCTATACCGCTAATCCACAGATGAAAAGTATCGATGCTTTTAGTTGTATGACAATTATTATTATTATTATTGTTATTATTATTCACATCATAATCATAACTATTACTATGCGGATTCCATTTAACAGCAGGTTTGATGTTTTTATGCTCATCCAAAACAATTTCACTGATATCCCATGGAGATGTCTGTGGCTTCCGGCCTTCACAATAGCCTGGACCTAGGAGAACACCACCCGGTATACCACGGCTAATAAGGGAGGGAGAAAACAAAGCATGATAAAGCATAGTAAGTAGAAACAGACTATTAGCATCATCAATGAAATTTTTATTCAACTTGTAATCAATAAATTCTATCGTGTGGTTTGTTAGGGAAAACCTAAGTCTACACACCTATTAAGTACTAGTATACAAACATAAAAACATAATTAAATAAGTGAAGCAGAAGAATACCAATACATAAGATTTTTTTTCTTTTCTAACTCATAACAGATTTACACTAATGAGTACTTCACACAAATTTTCAAGAGAATAATTTAATTTCACACTTTGAGTGTAAACACAAATGATCATTTGCATCTAGCTAGAAGTAGTTTCGTTAAGAATTCTTTAAATTCATGAATAATAAACTTATTGAAAAAAAGAAAGATGAATCGATTATTAATACAGAACTATATGAACAACTTCGCCCATCTGGTTCTACATTGTCACGAATGTACTGACTACCCAAAGTGCACAAAATGGACGTCCCACTCCGTCCAATATTAGATATGATTAATTCGCCATATCACCTAATCGCCAAGCGGCTGGTAGATATTCTTGGACAAGTGAAAGAAAGGCTGTCGAGATACAACCTCCGCGACAAATAAAAAATGTCAACCTCGTAAGTAAAAGGATGGTCTCCCTAGACGTTATCTCTCTCTCTCTCTTCACCAATGTTCCACTGACAGATACTATGTGTTTTCTGTGTGTGACTTCATCCAATGCAACAGTGTAGATGTCGGAATACCAATCCATTATCTAAAGGAGCTGTTACTACGTTGTAACTTCAACGTCTACATCAGATTCAACGATGAAATCTACAGGCGAACAGATGGCGATGAGATCTTCACTCGGACCCATCCTGGCTGACTGTTTTATGGCCAGCCTCGAAAACAACTTCTTGTCATCAACTATCGACGACCTCCATCTCTACAAGAGATACATTGATGATACTTTCATCATTTGTGATGAGAACCTGAACCTTGGAAACTTACTTCAAACCTTCAACAATGCCCACCAAAACATTGACTTTACTCCTGAAGCTGAATCCGACGGAATGTTCCACTTCCTCGACGTTCATCTGACAAGAAACGCCCACAACTCTCTGGAAAGGTCCATATACAAAAAGCCTGCATGGATAAGACAATTCATCAACTTTCAAAGCTTCGTGCCCCTAAGCAGAAAGAGGATCCTTATCTACGCTCTTTCCTTGAGGATTCGGAAGATATGCAGTGAGGTAGTGATTGATGAAGAACTGAGTAATCTCCGAGGAACCCTGATGGAAAATGATTTTCTGCCTCGGTTCATAGACAAGAATCTCAAGACAAAGAAGACTTCCGAACAAGTTCAATCCATCCCGAAGAAGATACTTCTGCTTAATCTAGAATTCAAAGGTGACACTGAAGCAGAAATCCTTCGTAAATGCCTCTGCAAATTTCTGAGGAAGACATACTTTGCCGCGAGCCTACGACTAACGTTTTCCTGCAAGAAACTGTTCAGTCAAAACGCGAAAGACTAGCTGTCGCATTGGGCCACTTCAACGTGCATATACCAGTTTAATTGCTCGTTCGGAGCTGAGTACATCGGCCGTATCATGCGCCAACTTGCAAAACGCGATCGTGAACACTATCTAGCCTGGTGAGTGAAAGGAGACCAAAAACGTGTATACAGTTCAGTGACAGAACATCTGGTCAACTCAGGACATTCAGCAACTTTCGAAAAATCCTTCAAAGTAATATACAAGATTCAATCAAACCTATCAAAGGGAGTCAAATCAAGACATCTGGGCATAGCTGAGGCGCTAGCTATCCAAAAGCTCAAGCCCACGCTTTGTATCCAAAAGAAATAAGTCCAACACCTGCCCCTGCCATGACCATCATAAACAGGTAAATTTTTTAGTAATGGCGATCTCATCGCCTTTCTTATCCAAACTTCCTGTTTATTCATGTAATTTTTAAGTTTTTCTTAATCCCTATTTACACTACCATATTTTCATATCCGAACTTCCTGTCTATTTTGTCATTTTATTATTTCTACATATTTAATCCCTAATTGCATAAACAATTGTTCGTCACATTAGTTATGATCCCACTAGATTTTTTATCCAAACATCCTGTCTATCTATTTTGTTATTTCTACATTTCTAACCCCTAATTGCACAATATGTCAATCTTCTCAGTAATTATGATGCTACTTTGTTTGAGCTTTATCCGTCCCCCCCCTGTTTATTATGGCATTTTAATTCCTAATTGTAATTTTATTAATCTGACCCTTGACCAGAGACTATTCTGGAACTTTCCTACCCATTTATATTATAAATACACGAATCTACAGCCTAGTGGATAATTTCGTCGAAAATAAAATTTTCTTCACTGCAACTGTCTTTTTATTATTCCCAATAGTAAACTAATATGAGGGAAACCTATACACACGCACACGCACACACACACACACACTGAACCTTATTGACATACTTGCAAAACATATCACCTCTTACCAAATCAAAATGTCATAATGAAGAAGACACTAATTAGGAATGTAATAGTCAAATCAAGATATTGTAACTAAAGCACGGAAAAGTCATCCATCTAAATGCACGAAGTATAATATTTGCTCTTTAGGCTTATGAATGGTATATAAGAGTAGCTCTATGATTCGACAGTTTAGGAAGGATAACTACTACTACTACTAGTGAAATTTGAGTTCGAGATGTTGTTTAGCAGGACAGCGATGGCTTCACAATTCAATCAACCAGCAGGATTGGACTTCACCGACCCCTAGATTAGAAATAGGAAGTGAAGTGGTAGAGCACGTTGACCACTTCACTTACTTGGGAAGTACCATCAGCCTCAACGGGTTGATCTCCGACGAAATCTCAGCACGAATACAGACGGCTAGGTTCGCATATGCCAGTTTACGCCGTCTCTGGCGTAGACGTGATATCCGCCCGGCTATTGACCAAAGGGCGTGTGTACTGCTCAACAGTCCGCTCCGTCCTCCTTTATGGCTGTGAGACATGGCCATTGAGACTGGAAGACATGAAAAGATTAGCTGTCTTCGATCATAGGTGTCTGCGTTCTATCTCCCGCGTCAAGTGGTATAATAAGGTAGGTGATCAATATTGAGGTTAGGCGTCGAGTGCTAGGCAAGGAGGGGAAATCAATCGACGAGACTGTGAAATTACATCGACTGAGATGGTTAGGACATGTGCTACGTATGCCTAGTCATCGCCTTCCTCAACGGGGAATGTTAGCTGATATAGGGTCAGGCTGGAAAAGAGCTAGCGGCGGTCAAACGAAAACATGGCACCAGTCAATGAAATCCACAACAGTTAGTCTAAGCCACGTAGGAAGGTGTAGACTTCCCGGTTGGGGTCCTCGGGATGGTAAAAGCCAATGACTGGAGACAATTGATGATATGGCTCAAAATAGTTCTCAGTGACGCAGATGCATCCACTGCTTGTGACTTATGATTTCCAATTAAACTGTTTTGTTCTCCGTTATTACTATTCCTTTGTCTCACACCTCTGTTTACTGTCTATATTATGCATTTCTCTTACTTTCTTCTCTTGCTTTGTGTGCTACATGGAGGGAGTGTGGCGACTTGAACTGCCGCACATATGTGCAAAGTTCTATGTCGAAAACCGACCGACCGACCGAATCAACCAGCTCAGAGAACACGAAAAAATCAAAAAGGATAACCAACGTATATCTAACATTTTAAGTGTTTCCGTGGTCCAAAAACTTTTCAAACAAATATCTGGTGTGTTTGATAACAGAAGACATGGTGTAAATCTAATATAGTCAAGCCAGTTTACATTTTGTTATTTATACTACGTTTTCACTGTCCATGTATAGCTGAAACACTACATAGATGTGAATAAAAACCCAAGTTACGACACATCTGACTTCACAACTTCATGTTAAAACCGAAGATTTCGGTTTTCCCATTCGTGAATGAAGAGTGACTGATTTTATCGATTGCTATGAAGTGGGAAATATTCACTTGTATTAAGACTGTGATAGGTCTTCGATCTTATTACAAAATCAAGGAAAAGGTATATGCCCACAACAGGATTGAAAAAATGTGCAATTCAGTCGTACTTAATTAAACGACATCTTTGTTCTTCAATACGTGGACCAGCATAGACCAAGTCAACTGTATCCCGAGGACTCCAGAGGCGTTCTGCGACAGCACTTGTAGTCGGCCTATAGAAAAGAAATAAGGCATACACGTATAAAGCGTTAAAAATAAATACTGTAATATTTAGTAAGAGGAATGCAAAGTGATTGCTATTCACTCAAACTTAATGATCAACGTCTATTTATTTCCTCCGAAAGGTACCTCTACAAGAAATAGTCAAAAATGAAATACTTTGCTTTGATAAACAGAGATTATCAGACACAGGACCATTCAATGACCCAATGAATCTTGAAAAGCTTTTAGGTCTTACCAATAATTTACAAAGTGTGTAAAGTATCCAAAAAAGGCTAAAAGCTGCACGGGTACTTCAGATTTCTTTACACAGTTCACGCATATAAAGTCTTAAATTCAACAATTCTTTGATTAGACACTAGTTAGTAACTAGTGCAGTGTGTCTAGCCCTTTGTTTGGTGCATACTGAATTTTATCAGTCAAGTTTGCAGTGTGGCCACCATTCTACGTGACTCACCAACACAGTACACTTTACAGATACGCCTTGCTGACGAGTACCAACTAACACGAAACCTAGGTCCAAGACTTCCTGCCAATCGCCCCCAACTATCAGATATCAACACTTGAATTCAACATATTTTCACTGAATTTATACAACACTAGACGGCACAAATCAGTAACGAAATCTTCCTGGAACACAAACTCATATAGTGAAAATTACTGTTAATAAAAGTTTCGAGTGATTTGTGAAGATGCTATTTTAGCGCACATCTTTTAGCAATGTCACCTTAAACTTCGGTTCTGGTACTGCAGTTCAAAAGATTCCTACTGACATTTCTGTTGAGTGACGAAACTTATTCGTAGTCTTGAAAAAAAAGATCGACATAAAAAGTACTGCAATTTGAAACTTGATTACATTCACACTTCACAAGGATTATGGTTGAAGCGCTGATAAAATAAAGGTTTCGGTTAATTTTACTCTAATAGGTATATGCAATTCTGCCAGAATTTCATTGAAATCAGGTGTAGCAAGGCACACCGATATCTCATATAAGCAGTACTATCCATTTACCAATCAAATTACTACTATAAACAGCCTATACAGTGCAAGGTCGTTAAAGCATGCAGATTTAATGTCTGACAATATGCCATAAAAATTCGGTTTGATTTTAACACAATCGATAACAGTATGATACATGACAACAAACGAATGCCACATATGTCTGAGAGATAGAGAGACATAAGAAATCAAACCTTTTTAATTCATGAATAATCCCTTATGTAGACATCAATGAAAGTAAAACTCGTAGTTCAGCGAAGAGTTGCCAAGAGATACAATTACATCATTCATAATGAATTCAAATAATGTCACATCAACTAGAAGTCTTGCAGTCGAAAACCAACACTTCGCACAAGTGGCTGGCACCGAACACAGAACTTCAGGCGATGAAGATACCTAACCAACAACAACAACAAGCACAAATCACTAGCAACCAGAGACACCTGAAAGAGGACATTTCCTCCACTTATCTCGAAAGCGTCGTTTCAACTACAGGCAGTCGGAACAAACGAAGATGTCAAAGTCAGAATCGGAAAGGCAACACACACCTTCCCTACTCTGAAATCAGGTTGCTGATTTTCCACACTCAACATCAAGACAAAAAACATTCGGATTTCTAATAACAATGTTAAGGCTGTCAGTTCCTCGATATGGGTCAGAAACTTGCAGTTTAGCGAAATGTGTTTTCCACTCTCTGCTGTCTTTTATCAACACCTGTCGCCACCACCAGGCCCATACCCAAGATCAGATGGCGAGAAAGAATCAGCAACAAGAAATCAACCAAAAAATTATTGCTCAACGAATACGCAGAAGAAAATCAAGATGGAACAGACACACACTAAGGAGACAGTCGGGTGACATCACACCTTGAGTGGAATTCAGATGGAAAACGGCGATTTGGGCGTCCAAGGGTGAAATGAAGAACAAGGCTAAATGAGGATGTACTGGTGAAGCCCTACATTTCACTCGGAAACCAAGGGAACAATGATAATAATAATAATCTTCAAGTTGTTCATTTGCTTATTAGAACTCACAAAATGATCCCATTCTATGGCCGAACTATATTTTAAGTGATACAACTCATGAATCAGATGAATTGGTGAAAAAGTCGGCATTTCAGAGATGGTATTCGAAAGAAATTCAACCAGCTAGGATGCAAAACAGTCCACAAGATTCAATAGGTATAGTTTGCAATTTGAAGAAGCAAAAACCACACAAGCAAAAGACTAATTTATTTTATTGTCGCTTTTTGTAATATTTAAGTTAGCGTGCCAATTGAATTCTCCATGTCTATACAGCGAAGTAAAGAAAGGTTGAATTGAATTTTAACAGCTGAAACAAGATTAAGGATTACTAAAAAGAAGTTGCATTGTCATAATACCTTCGCTTCTAAAACACTAAAACTCAAAATTATCCATTCCGAAATCTTTAACACTATCGTAAAAAAATGAAAACAATAAGCTAAATTCCATTGGGTTAATTCCAGGAACACTGAGACAGACTTTCAATAAAAGTGTAAGTTAAAAAAAAGTTAATGAGAATACGAACACTAGCACTAGTCATAGCATATGAAAAATCACGTTTAAACAAGACTACACTCTTCGAAGATGGATTATTCTTATTCACAGTAATATGCATTCAATGCAGAAATAACAATCATACATAAAAGCAATAATTGTTTTCATTGTCTGTTTTTCTTGCAACAGACATCGGCTGATTTTCACTGAAAGGGAAAATGTGCATATAATCGATACTTATCAGTTGACTTGAGAGGAGATCTCTAGATGACGAGGAATGTTTCACTAGCGCATATGCAATTTACAATGAACGACTTAGTTATTTCCTTAAACATTATATAAAAAACAATTATAAAATTCAGCTTACTATTTGGATTGTGTTTAATTTTAATTACTAGAATGTCTATTCTAGTAAAATTAATTCGGTTATATTTCAACTTTGTGCGTTGGTGGCACAGCGGTTAGGACGCTCGCCGACCATGCACATGGTCCGGGGTTCGATCCCCGGCCGACGTACTCCTTTACCTCGGTAAGCCAGTAATAAAAACCTGGTAAAGAGGAGAGGTTGGGCATAAGGCTAGCAACCCCACCCTCTAAAAATAAACACTGCTACAAAAACTTCAAGCCTCTAGCTTGAAGCCCTGTGTTCCATTGGGAACGTGAAGGAATTTTAAAAAAATATTTCAACTTCAGCGTAAACACACAAATCTGTAAGTCAGTGACATTATGATGATAGCACACAGCTGCTGGGGTACAACCTGTGATCGAAAATTATTACATTTCTTTTTTTAAATCACTGGTGTCAGTCAAATGCGAATAAAGAAGCTTCTATTTTTGACAGTACACATATATGTATATATGTCGTGCGAAGAAAGTTAGTCACACTGCAAAAATATACGACTGAATGAAGACAAGTTGTCGTAGAAGTAGTACTGAGGAACACCAAATATATCAAATTAACTGTATCGGGAAAAACGTTTTCCTCTTTCATCACGATTGTTACTAACATGATTAACACAAAGAGTAAGGTGTTGACTTTATGGTATACATTATGAAGTGATCACTTTATGTAGAAACTTAACACGCCAGGAAATAATACTTCGAGTAGAAGCCACCGAGGAATGTTACCAAAAAAATCATCAGTGTCATATTCAGGTGATATGACATAACAATAACTCTCACTTTTCATTATCCAGAAACATGCACCACTGCAACTCGGTTTTGTGATATTTGGCTACTTACTTTGTGGAATATTAACAGTGTTCATAACATTCATAACATTCTTTGTCATTATTCCTTCACGTTCCCAGTGGAACATAGGGCTTCAAGCTAGAGGCTTGAAGTTTCTGCAGCAGTGGTGTTGATTTTGTACGGGATGGGGTTGCTAGCCTCATGCCCAACCTTTCCCCTTTACCAGCTTCATTACTGGCTTAGCGAGGTAAAGGAGTGGGTCGGCCGAGGATAGAATCCCGGACTATGTGCATGATCGGCGAGCGTCCTAACCGCTGTTCCACCGACGCACACATAAACAATATTCATAATAGTAAACTATCCGAAAAGTGATATTAAACGAAAGCAACCATATTTTGTCAGTATATCATGTCTTCACCGCCACACGTTAAGACGACTACAAATTTCCCACCTGTGGTGCAGACGAGAAAAAATTAGTAAAGAATTATATACTACCAGCACTTGAGAGGTATTAAGGCGTATAGGTTATTAAGCTTTCCATGATACATAATTACAAGGGAAATATTAAATAGTTGTCTGAAAAGAAATAAGACAAATGCTTTAATCAGTTAAATTGATCAATAAGACCTTGAAAGCAAATTTTACTTTATGTATGTGGAATAAACAACAAGTGACAAAAATTCAATTACCATATTCTCATTAGGACTGTATAATCCGACTGGTATTCACTCCACATGCAAGCTTCACCACCGAAAATCTGCTGTTCAGTGTTTATCGGAGCATCTTTGTAAGAAAGAAAAGACAAGATTAACAACAACAACAAAATCAACTCAAAATAACGATACAGGCAGCAAGTGTAATTGGACGATGCGCGTAATTCAATTGTTGAACATATTTATCGAGCATTTCATCATCAGTAGGAAGGAAAAAATAATACAGAATGTATCAAGCAGAAGCTTGGCAGGTCACAAAGAATATTTCCAACAGCCTGTTGCAGACCTTTATCAACAACTGTCTTCGTTCTATACTTAAGATCAGATGGCCGGAAAGAATCACCAACAAGAAACTATGGGAACAAACAAAACAAGAACCAATCGCCCAATAAATATGCAGGAGAAAGTGGAGATGGATTGGACACTCGCTGAGGAGACCGCTGGGTGACATCGCGCGTCAGGCCAGTGCTCGAGTGGAACCCGAAAGGGAAGCGGCGAGTGGGACGTCCAAGGGTGACATGGAGGAGATCGTGTGAACAGGAACTGAAACAGTATGGATTAACATGGACGCAGGTGAAAAGTACAGCAGAAGACAGAAGCAAGTGGAGATGTGTAGTTGAAGCCCTATGTTCCACTAGGAACCCAAGGGAACAATAATAATAATAATCAAGCAGATGTAGGAAGATAGAGATTTCATTGTAATTTATTGACAGTGCATCACATAGTGAGTCAGTAAGATTCATCTTTCCGATACATTTTGTTCGTCCAGAGTCACCTCATCAGAGAATTTTAGCTATCGACCAATTATTTTGCTGCAGGAGGAAGTAGAAGCTTGTAGAATCAAACAACAGAAGATGATTAATTTCTGGTACAACTGATTTAGCTGTCTTGCTACACCTAGGCAATTAGACTGACCCTGGTTAAAACCACTGACTACGATAAGTTAAGGTATTCAAGTTTCTGAAATTCTTATCACCATGTGAATGTAAAGCCAACAAGAAAATGAAAACGATATAATTGAAGGTATAATGTTTCACTACGACGAGAAGTAAAATAGACGGAAAGTTCGCAACGATTTCAAGACTCAGGTGCAAATAAGTTGTAGACGTATTTTTTTTTATGCCAAAGAGACTGATTCCCATGTCATAATGAAGTTTTTTAATCATTCACACATGAACGCCAAGCACAGATGTTAAACTCAACCAAAAGGGTACACCTCATGTATTAGTGTTAAGCCTTAGTCTAGTTCTGCTTAACTTTAACCTAGTTCAATAGAGAGCACTGTGCTAAACAAATGCTTTGTATGCGTAACATGTGTCTTTAAACATCGATATCAATCAATATCTTAGTTTGATAATTTTGTTTTTCCTTAACTCAGTGTCTATTTATTTGACCTAGTTTAAGCGACTAAAAGATTGAAAAAAAAATATATATCAACACCTAAGACATTCGACAATTCGACTTCAACAGAATTTACAATCTCGACTGTGGAATATAAAAGTGAGTTTCATTTCTGATGCAACACCCTAGACACATGCACTTATGTTGTAGTACGCAATGGTGTTGCCGCCAGAAGCATAAACCATACATATTTCGTTGACTCTGGCGTCTGGCTGCTAAGTTACGAGTTAAACTTTACACAGCAACACAGGCTGGCTGATAAGCACGGATTTGTTAGTCCGCAAACGAACACTTTAGAAAATGTAATGCTAATTTAGAATTCGTATATAAATGTCAGACTGATATGTCTTAAGCACTATTTCTAAATCACTAATTGTCTATAAGATGACCTCCGAATCACAAAGAAGACATCCAAACTAGGAAGACACAACTGCCCAGTACTCCCTGGTTTCCAATGATATTCTAACTAATTCCAATCCATCATGACGAAACCTGAGACCAATGAAATCCCCACTAAATTGATATATGACCCTATATATAATCCCTTAGGTGACATACACATCACGTCTATGATGTAGGTAAAAACCAGTGTAACACGGCTGTCCTAGAACCAAATTAAGAGTTTTCTTCCAATACGCATAACAAGTGGAAAAAAGATGCTCACTAGCGACTTGCCCTATTCAGGTAGGTAGTTACCTGGGGTTCTAGTGAGAAGTTGTGACCAGTAGGGTGCAGCAGGTCGGATGTGAGGACAAATGCTCGCCGAAGACATTGGCTAGGTGTCGCGCTATGTCGTGAATTGGCAGAAGTTAGAATTCATGGGCCATTGGATCGGGTCCCAGTGGCTTAATGGTCTACGAGCTCACCTTGTAACCACAAGGTCCTGGGTTCGAATCCCGGTGGGTGCGAAGAGTCCCAAACTAGGACGAAACAGCTGTCCAGTAGTCCCAGGTTTTGCAATGGCTCTCTAACTAATGTCAGCTCATGATGAAAATCCTGTAACCAATCAAATCCCTACAAACCAACACTTGAAAAAAGACTTATTGTAAAAATGAAGAAAAGAAAGCTACAAATAGCTCACTTACCATTAGCTGGATCGCACAAATAGAAATCTGTCCAGCGTTTTATATCATTGAGTGAATCTAAATACCAACAGGTGGAGTATATAATATTATGCCCTTGAGATAAATACGATGTTGGTAAAGTACTCCAAACCTGTATCAATGAAGTCTTCTTAACCTATCAATTGAAGTTAAATAAATATTTCACTTTCATATTACACACAACTCATCAAATCTATTGGAAAAAAATTCACTGAATAACAAAATTTTAGTGATAACTTTAAAGCTATATATATATGTATATTCTTGAAGGAATTCAAAAGGAATATCACAATATGGAATATTGTATAAACTACGACGTGTTTTAGACTGATGCGTTTCGCGATAGTACACAAAAAAGAGACAGAAACATCTAGAATACGAAACAAAATAGTCAAAAGCTGGGAAGCAGCTCATACAAAGTGTAGGGATGGTCTGCACCTAACCGTGTGAGTGCCACGAGTCCAAGTTTCCGAAGCGTTGAAAGTAGCAGGTGGAAAGGCTTGCCGGTAAAATCATATTTGACGACAAGCGACAAGCATTAGGACATCTGAGTATCGGTCGGTATCACAATCGTTGGAGATGTCATCATGCCAACAGTAAGTCGAAGTTCAAAACTTTCTAACAATTAGCGCCAGTTACTACATTTATACAGTGCGGTAAACAAAAGTCAATTGTCTGGATTAATGACAGTGGGAATTACATCAACAGGATTTATTACTACCCAACAAAGGGAATGTGGTTGTGAAACTCAGCAAGCATGGCATTTGCAAACTCAGTCAAGAAGTATTCACCATCTGCAGCAACACAGGACCGTTTAATCAACTAACTGACATTCAAATAAAATATAATTATATTTCAATAGTTTATACACAATGATAAGTTTTGTTATTGGTAATATTTTGAGCAAAATTACTGCCCGTCTTCACATCACTGTTGGAATTGTTTTGTTCACACATTTATGATTTGTACTGATATACATATTTCATTTTTTGTTCATTCATGTTTTTGTATTCATTATGTTCACACTGGTTACATGTTACAAGGGTGACTCAGTACAACTGTCAACAACCTGGAATATAATTCCGAATACAAAAGCATGAATGAACAAAAAATGAACTATGCATATATGAGCACAAATAAATGACATTCAAACACATAACTTTTCGCAAAAGCGCATCCGTTCAAATCGCCAAACTTCGGAAAGTAAAGAAGAAAATAAATGCAATAAAACTGCAATAGAAGAGGTGAAACAACGTGAGAAGGAACAATTCAGTGAAGAAGACTATTGGAGATTTCCAGAACCTGGGGTCTACCAAGGAGTGAATGTGTACATTTGGGAGATTAGAAATGAATTTGAGTCTTGCCACAACCATTGATTCCCATATGAATGGCTTCTTAGCTGAAGTTAAGGATTGGTCTGGATCAAATGGTCTTAAACTAAATCCAACTAAATGTAATACAGTTGATTTCAGCTTGAGAAGTGAAAAAGACATGCATGGATTGATCCAATCTCATGATTGTTGTAATATTGACGGTACCATGATAGAGAGTAAGTCAAGTGTTTCTTATCTTGGCATCAGTTTCTCTTCAAACCTTTGCTGGTCGTCTCATATTCTTATAGTTTCTAAGAAAGTTTTCCGTCTGACTTATTACATAAAGAAGTTGAGGCACTCAGGTATAACCCAATCTCTTCTCATACAATTTATTAATTCATGTGTTTTGCCCATCATTCTTCATTGTTCTCCATTATTCTTCCCTGGGCTACTCAAGAAAGACCATATAATACCACGAAGAACATTGAAGGCTGTAAGTAGGGTCAGTGCTATCCCTTTGACTCAACTAACCGACACTGTTGTCAATAGGCATATGAATTCTTGTAAACACTTAGCTAAAGTTATCTTGTCTGATAGTGAACATCCTCTTTATTCACAATTGTTTCCTTGTATCTCTTCGGGTAAGACCAGAAGAAATTTCATAAACATTTATGCTCGTACTACAAAATATAAAAATTCAACCGAACCATATTTGGCACGAGTATTGTGTGAAGAGACAAATATCAGAAAAGAACTTTTACAACTTTTAAATCATTAACTAAACTATAAAATGTAATGATGCATATTATTGCATGTGTGATTTGTTATATTATTTATTTATTATTCACTATGACCTAGAAATGGTGTGATTTTGTTGGGGTTTTTATTTTTTCCTATTAACTATCAATATTTTAACATTTTATACATTTATATAATTATAAACAGCTAAACCATTGCAATATGTAAAAGAAACGCTGAAAATCCCATGCTGTAAATTGTAATTGTTGTGGAATTAAGTGATTATTATTATTATCATCCTGTGTACACTAGCCGGACAGTCAACGCTTCCCTCCCTACATGGTTATTCATTCAAATCAACAACAACTTATAGTTTAAGTAGTCTATTCAGTAAAACACCACCGCAATGCTCAAAAACTTCTGGTATCACACCGTCGGTATATCTAATACTGACGTCAGCTACGATAAGATGGTTAGGTTGACAGAATTGTAAGAGGCGATTGCCATTGTCGGTTCATAGCATGAGACTCCACAGAGACTCCCGATATACATTTTGAGCTGACCGTTTATTTGCCTGAAGATTCAAATCACTTGTTAAAATGATTGCATTTGAGCGTTTTGGTTTGAGCAGCAAACTATACTGCTTCTGATTAGATTCATAGTTTCCACCGTCCAAATTGGAATTTAGTGGTGAGCACGCAGAGATTATGAAAGGGTATTGGCGTGTGTTACGATCTCTCCTTGTTATTACAGATCGATTTGACCGCAAAACGCACAAACGGCTGTCCCTTGTGCTCAACACTATTCAAACACTAGCCAGTCCATGAAAACTAGCTAACTAATCCCCTGACATCCAGGAAGCATTTTTGTCACGTGCATGTCCTTTATGCATTTCGCAGAGACAAAACATGTGTTCACAGCTTGAGATGCCAGACATTTGGCTGGGAAATCCTGCTGTTAGCATAAGAGCAGGATATCGCAATGCCTAATATGATGTCGGTAGTTTGGTTTTATATACTACGAAAGGTGTCAATCCGGTTATAGAGTTAAGAGAAGGTGAAGAAATTATTCAGGGAATAGTATTAGCAGTGGGAAGAAAAAAAGAAACTTTAGAATGTGGGAGATGAATGATGGCATTTTAAACCATTATTAAAGCCTTCTGGCTACCCACATCTGACACTGACTTCTTCTAGAAAAGAAACACACTGCCAGTTTAGGTGGAGTTTCCGGAGTTCCGTCACTACAAAAGATATTACCGTCGACAACGGACCACCAAAGAGTAAGTCAGGATGCGCGTTTCTTGGGACTTAACTATACTTACCTATCCTTTTAAGAGCAGGAAAACAGGATAGTTGCTTTTCTGGTGACCTAAGGAAAGCGCCTTACCGCTGTTACACTCGTATCCGCCAACATTACCGTTGAAACCCGAAAACAATATAAACCTCTTACACTATAATGATAACTATCTACTATCCAAGTGAACCTTTTAGAAGAGTGGGACCTGTAGCAACATTCGCTCCAGTCAGCAAGCTCTTCAAGCTCGTGTGGTATGCAAGCAAGACTACCGTAGCAGCTCTAAGTCAACTATTCAGATAGCATTAAAATTTATAAATTTGGTAAGCACCCATTGTTTCTTTTAACGAAAACTAAAAGCAAGTTGATTATTTCCTTTATTTATTAAATTCTACTGATGGTGGGCAATGAGCTGTCAAGATATTCCCAATCATAACATTTCACCTGAATTTGATTTCAAACGCAACCACCTCAATCTGTACGAAAAACTCAGCAGTAAACATTTCATAACTTTCTTAACCATAACTCAAAGGTTATTGTGTGTTAGTGGAAAAACCAAAGGGTATTCATTCTCAAATGAACTGTCGTCAAGATTTGACAGAATAGTTCTAAAATATTTGGGCGCCGAGTGAGAAGCAGACATTTGTAAAAAATTTTTATATTTGTAAAGTCTCAGCGAGATTGAAATGAGTAATTCCAACGTTTCGTTCGGCAATCTGGTCCGAACTTCTTCAGGGAAATTAATCGAAATTAACATAACATAGGTGCATATATATGTTATGTTAATTTCGATTAATTTCCCTGAAGAAGTTCGGACCAGATTGCCGAACGAAACGTTGGAATTACTCATTTCAATCTCGCTGGGACTTTACAAATATAATTTTTTACAAAGGTATTCATTCTCATTTAAGAGGTTACTATGGGGTAACTGTATGAAAAAGTGGAATTCACTTCATAAACAGCTGGAAGTTTATTACAATGTTTTGAGAAAACACCTATGCATGTGTATATTGAGAAGATACTCATAGAATGAACTGAGTGATTCACTGAGTTTCATAATTTGTAACCGTTATATAAGCCCACTTGTGAGATTATTGTTCTACATCTCTTATTCAAAGACTAGTGATACAACAACAACAAAAAATTCTCCTCATGCCTGTAGGCGAAACAGGTTTAGAATATATAACGAATGACAGGGCAGTTAAAATCTATGGTTATAAATCAATGTCATATTGGTGTACTTGATGCATAAAAATTCGACGATCACATGCAAAATTATAAATAGAAAAAAATATATACATACCTCAGTGACATGATTCAATACATCTTGCCAGACAATTAAATTTCGTCTTAAATCAGGATTAGTGTTACCGATTCCAGTAACTAAATTCTGCACCCTGGAAAGAAAATGAAGAAGAAATTTTCGTAAAAAAAAAATTATAATAATTTAAAGAATCATACCGATATACACGACGTCAAGAGAAGCATGAATCGCTTAACATTCGTTGATAAATGAACGTTTAGTTTGTTTAAAAGCATTAAACTTTACAGTACAGCTTGATTACGTGTATATATGTATGTAGTAGAGTTAACATTACTGTTTATTCGCTGAAACTTTGGTAGGTGGAGAGAATTTTTCAAATGTCAGAATAGAGAAAAAAAGTCTCGTCTTCATATTGCACAAACAGTCGAAACAAAATGGGACTTAAGAGGTATGGAAGAGCTTAGTCTTGAAATATAACGAGGTAGTCAACTAACACCTAGATGTAGAGAAAACATGTCACAATTGTTTAAAGGTGTTATGCTTTACTGAGGCTAAACGCTGCGTTCAAAAAATTTCTAGTTTGAGCTCAGAATTCAAAGGGCAATTTTATTCAAGTATTCGTTTGTAGGGATTTGATTGATTGGTTACAGGATTTCACCATGAGCTGACATTGGTTAGAGAACCGTTGGAAAACCTGGGAGTACTGGACAGCTGTTTCGTCCTAGTTTGGGACTCTCCCACAGTACGCACCCACCGGGATTCGAACCCATGATCTTCTGGTTACAAGGTGAGCTTGTATACCATTAAGTCACTGGAACCCAATCCAATGGCCCATGAATTCTAACTTCTGCCAGTTCACGATATAGCGCGACCGCTAGCCAATGTCTTCGGCGAGTATTTTTATATATTTTATTTTTATTATATCTATGTGTGATTTTATCTCCATTTACGACTAATTTTAAAATATGTACAGTGTTTATGGGCTATATTCATTTGATTCTCCTGGAGTCCGCATGACCTGTAAAAAGACTTATTACCCTAACACTATCTATTACTTTATCTTTAACAGTTTTGCATTAATTTTGGAATTTTTGCTTCGCTTGTGATTATCTTTCTAGAATATTTAAAATCAATCATCCTTAGAATTGTAAGTCTAAGAGAGACAGACTTGTTGAGCGTTACATAACCGCTGAAACAGTAGAACTTATCTCACTAGATAAAGTAAAAAGCATTCAATTACCTACATATACAGCAAAAATAAGCGAGCGTTCCTTTGGAGAAAAAATAAGTGGAGATAATTGTCTTCTTTAGATTAATAGTGGTGGTTTTGCCAACGCATGTCCCCATCAAACTCCGTAAGCGGGAAATAATATAATCGTAGAGAAATAAGTTCTTCTGATGTAAACTAACAAAATGAATCCAGTAAATAATGTGAAAAAGTGCCTAGAGAGTTGGAGTTTGTCTTCAGGCTGTCTATTACAGCTTCACTACATTAATTAAGTAGCTGATCATCTTCAAAATATTAAATAACTAAATCAACTAATTTTCACTAATGTACTTGTTGATCAGCGATATCCACTCACCATTAAGGACACAAATAACAGCTTTGCAATTGATTCTTAAAGAATTCAAATGGGAGAACCTGTGTCGTAATCAAAAGTTATTGCTTCTTAATTATAATTGCTTTTCAGGGTTATACTGGACCAAAAATGGAAATCAGATACAGGCACACCCAGAAAAGCAACTCTCTTATTGAAAGAGGGTGACTTCAATATTACGGGTTGAGAATATCATCTAATAAGTCTAAGGTTTCCTAAACAACTGAAAACGAACTATTCTACAAGAACTCACGCAGCCATGTAAGAGCTTAGGAACAATTGTTATTTGAAGTAATGACAAACAGTGGTGTGGGTTACAGATGTCCACTATCTCCTTTTCTGTTTACATTCATCAGAGGGGTACTAATGGAATTAACACTAAATCACTTCAGCGACTTAGCGTTTGACTTGTTACCAGGGAATTATCTCCTCAACTTAGAATCTCCGGATGATATAGTCCTCCTAGGTAAAGACGTTGACAAAATGTAGTCTTCTGAGCACCCTGAACAACAATCCTTGTATGCTTGGTGTGCAATTCGCTCCTGTCAAATGTAAGATGATGCTACAGGACTGAACTACATTGACTCCTAGCTTAAAGACAGAGAGGAGTGAAATGGTGGAGCGTGTTGACCACTACACTAATTCGGGAAGTTGAATATACCATAACGGACTGACTGTTGATGAAATCTCAACACAGATACAGAATGCACGTATGACATTTACCAAACTGCATCATCTCTGGCGTAGACGTGATATTCAACTATCGATCAAAGGATGTGTGTACTGCTCAGTAGTTCTCTCCGTCATACTTTATGTTTGTGAGACATGGTCATTAAAAGTGGAAGATATGAAAGGGGTAGCTGTCTTTGATCACAAAGTGTCTGTGTTCCATCTCCTATGTTAGATGGTATAATAAAGTGAGTAATATTGAGGTAAAGAGGGAAAATCTATCGATGAAGTTGTAAAGCAATATCGATTGAAATGGTTAGGACACGTATTGCGTATGCCTAGGCATCGCCTTCCTCGACGAACAACGCTAGCTGACATATGATTAGGCTGGAAAAGAGTTAGTGGTGGTCAAACCAAAACATGGTACCACTCCATGAAATATTTAATAGTTATTTTGAGGCACGTAGGGAGGTGTCGATTGCCTGGTTGAGGTCCTTGAGATTCTAAGAACCAATGGCTAGTGACAGTTGATGATATGGCTTAAAATCGTTCTCAGTGGCGCAGATGCATTCACTCTTCATGATCTGCGATATCCAACAAAACGCTATAGTTTTTCCCTGTTACTACTCTTTCTCACATTTCTACTTATTAGCGTCCGTTCTCGCGTTTGTCTTCTTTTGTGTGCCACATGGAGTGCACATCCGTCTAAATGTCAGGTAGTAAATTTCACTTTCAGACGAAAACGTGACCTACAACAACTAGCTAGCTCACATGGTCCCACTATCATTGACGGCATAGAGGTTGAAACTACATCTAATGTCAAGTACCTTGGACTGAGTATTTCCTCCGATCTTTCCTGGTCCTCTCACATCTTGCTAGTCACTAGAAAGATGTTTCGCTTAACGTTCTACGTTAGGAAGTTAAGGCAGTCTGGTATAAAGCAGTCTTTGCGTTCTCAGTTTGTCAACTCTTGTATTCTAACCATCCCTCTTTACTGCTCCCCATTAATCTTTCCTGGACTACTTAAGAAAGTCTTTGCTTTGCTGCGTAGGGCACTAATAGCTGTTAGTAAGGGAAGTGGGATTTCGTTAAACCAACTGGTTAACACCATTGTGGATAGACATATAATGTCATGTAAGAAACTAGCGAATTCTATATTGTCAGACCCCGAACACCCTCTCCATACGCAGCTCTCTCCTTGCATTTCATCTGGTAGAACTAGAAGCAACTATAGGAGGCTATATGCCGGGACTACCAAGTACAAAAACTCCACAATACCTGATCTGGCACAGCTGTTATGTGATGAGAAAACTGTTAGGTATGACACGATCAACTTACTGAGGCACTCTAACAAATAGTTCCTATTAGCTTTTGTTCTCCTTTCTTTGTTACTATTATATTGTTGCTAACATATTCTATTACACACTAATTTTATATTTCATATCCTGTGGTGCATTGTTTGAATATGTGAACGCAATGCCGTTCTTTTTTATTTCTTTTATTGCTCTTTTTTCTTTTTGTTGTTGTTGCTTTTTATTTTTAAAATCTTATAAAATTTATTATTATACACTAGTTTACATGTACGTGTGGTTAAATATGCATAGAGAGGATTGATCGTGCTTTGCATGTGAGTCTGGGAAAGCATATTTCCAAGTGGTGAGAAAAAGAAGTGAGTCATAAGATTGGTGTCAAGACAACCTTAAGGGGTTATTTATAAAAAAGGGTCAAAGAGCTTATTGAAATACACAAAAGGCAATAGCTACTTGTAAACTTAATCCCTCCTCTGTGTGCACAAAAACAATGTATTATTTCTCTCAGCCTACCTTGGTAATCCTTATCTGATTACATAACCGAACGAAGTGTTAATTATTCCTATAGTTCTTAAATTCTTAAATCTTTCCCAACTTAACTTCAATTGGCATTTATTTTTCGTTTAAATTGATTTAACAAGTAAATGTGTGATCAGATTGTTCGAAATTCATTGCGCAAATACACTATATTTTTCAGACAATCTCCGTCTTCTAATAACGCCATCCGAATTCATTAAAGAGACTGACTGTTTTAAATAAACAGTTGTACACAAAACTTATCTTTTTCTTCATTTAATCTGTCAGTGGCCACAAGGCTACTGTAAGAAGTAGTTTACACTTATCGTAAAACTTTCCTTTCTTAATGTAACACGCAAATGCACTATGCATACTCAACTGAGAGACAATTACTGTTATATTTAACAGCAGTGTTGAACCATGATAACAGTTCTTTAAATAAACTTATATCTGAAGGATAAATTCATCTCACTGACCAAATAAAATCGACTAAATAAAACATCTGAATGTCATAAAACACAACACGTATTCAAAATTTTGCAATAAGCAATTTACGGTTCAGCTTGAAACAGAGCGGACATTTAAGGCGATCTAAGGCATTTGGAGCGTAGCTTCAAAAAATCAAAAACCTTATTTCGTCAAAAGGTCGTTTTCAAGACATGTTCTGCGCCCTAACGGCACTGGGTCGATGTACAGAAGTTACTAAGTGTCAACACGTGACTAATCAAGAAGTCGTCTCAAAGGGCGGGTGTCACCCAAAGTTCAATCTGTTGTTACTCGATCAAAAATAGCTCTCAACTTGGACGCATTTTTTAATATACTGAGTTTTATGAAGAGGGCTAAAATAACAAAGATTAGTGTCAGATCTGAATTAGTTAGTGCAAAATAAAACTTGTGAAACTAAACATAAATGAGAAACCCTACGAAACTCTCAAATGTAATCCCACGACAGTCCCAAATAATTTATCAATATCATATATATATATAGGTGGTGGCGCTAGATTGCGCGTCAGACTGTTGGCGGCGAGAATTCAGGAATACGCTGGACAACCAATAAGTAGACTCTAGAAGATCTGGATTTCGCAGATGATATATTTCTAATGTCACACAAACTCGAAGACTTGCGGCCGAAAACCAACAAACTGACTGAAGAGGCAGCGAAAACAGGACTCCAAGTGAACATAGAGAAGACAAGGTGATGAAGATAACCAACGAACCGCAACAGCAACAACAACCAGCACAAATCACCATCAACGGAAGAGATTCGACAGAAGTTACTTCCTTCACTTATCTGGGAAGCATCGTTTCAACTATAGGTAGTCGGAATGGACAAAGATCTCAAAGTCAGAATCGGAAAGGCAAGAAACGCATTTATCAGCCTGAAACCAGTTTGGAAATCTTCCGCACTCTGCATAAGGAACAATAATCGCATTTCCAACACTAATGCCAAGTCGGTTCTTCTACACGGGTCAGAAACTTGCACTGCGTGTCACGAAAAGGATTCGCAACAGGTTGCAGACTTTTATCAACAGTTGCCTTCGCTCCATGTTGAAAATCAAATGGCCAGAGAAAATAAGCAACAAGAAACTATGGAAACAAACCAACCAACAGCTTACTGATCAACAAATATGTAGGAGCAAATGGAGGTGGGTCGGGCATACATTGAGGAGGCCGCCGAAGGACATCGCACGCCTGGCCCTCGAGTGGAATCCAAATGGGAAGCGACGAGTGGGTCGTTGGTGCGAGGGTGACATGAAGGAGATCGTGTGAGGAAGAGATGAGAGAGTTTGGTCAATCGTGGACCCAGCTGAAGAGGACGGCAGAAAACAGAACAAAGTTGAGAATCGTTGTTGAAGCCCTATGATCCACTTTGAACTCAAGGGAATAATAATAATTAAATATAGGTAGCTTACCGCCTCCAAAAGTAATTGTTCCAAAATGTAGGACTGAATTGAGTAGAATGTTGTTCACTTTGTATGATGTGAGGATCATTTTTCCTTTATGGAAAATAAAAGTATCATTAAAACAGGCGTTACAATTAAATATACCGAGAAAGAAAATACAGGATATTTTATTCACGTGAGTTAAGGTTCATGGAACAGGTTGGTTCAACAGTGGAACCACACAAATAAATATTCAAAGCATTACATTATATGATACCGCTTAAATTTGAATATTATCCTACAACTAACTGAACTCATGTGCTAAACATTACAATGAATGCCAGCTTAGAGATGGTTAATAAGTTTTCAATGCAGATGAAACAATAGTTAACCTGTCTTTGATTGAATTAAGCCTGAATTTGTACTAATCATTTTATCACACTCAGCAGAACATAAACGGATTTCTTTCTCAAGACTAAATTTTAGACTCAGTACTTTTTTTTGAAAGAATACCACATGAAAACAATAGTTGATCATGAACCATTGACCAGAATAGATAAATTTCGCTGTTCCTCGAGCCAGAAGTATATACAAAAAGTATCGTTTGAATGAATAAGCACTTACAATTTCTGATTATACTATTCCAGCGTGTCGAAACTTGAAAACAAAAAAGTACTTTAAAAAGAGAAAAAGAACAACGCCCATCCTGTAATGTAGGTGAATACTGAGTAATTTTATTACCCCATATATGGATGTTTACTGTGTTTGGCACAGACACTCAGTGATACAATTTTCAGTTATGAAATATAAAATACTCTAGGCTAATGAAGTGTACCTTCAAAGCACGCATCCAGTATTCAATCTGTAGACATATATAGACTTTGAAGCGGTAGAGCATAGGAAACTGCTATAGTTGTTCACATACCATTGAAATACAATTATAATTAACTGGTCTATTCCACAATGCACAAACTTATCATGGATATTATTTGAAATGGAAAGAGCTAAAGCATAAATTCAATAATTAATAACTACTGGCCAATATAGTCTGTGCGTGCCTATAACTTCACATTATGTACCAATAAACCAACATACAAGCACACTAGTAAACAGTTAGATAAGCCAGGTGGTCATTTCCTTTTCTAGTTTTCCCAGTCAATGATATCATCATTTCTTATTGTTTTATCAGAATAACACTGTGACACATCACTTCTGTTATTCATGGTTTTGATTTGAACAATGCTTTAACGTTAGCATTTCAAGTTGTTGTTTTTTAAAATGCTACATAATAAACAGAGAATATGATTTACAATGGTCTTATAATGTTTTACTTTACAGATAGAATACAGTTCAGTTAGTGAAAGAAAACAAAAACCATGTTTAACAATAGACTTGTCCCTTACACCATAGACTATCATCCGCTACAGAACAACTAGGAGAAAAGAACACTATGCAACTGGTTCATCTAAGTTTAGGAATGCTTTAGCAGCAGTACATAAAGCTCACTGTCAATCAAAAATTGACTTTACAATGGATTTTAAGACGCTCTAAGTGAAGTGTCGGGCGTCGGTGGCATAGCGGTTAAGACGCTCGCCGACCATGCACATGGTCCGGGGTTCGAACCCCGGCCGACGCACTCCTTTACCTCGCTAAGCCAGAAATAATGCTGGTGAGAGGAAAGGTTGGGCATGAGGCTAGCAACCCCATCCTGTAAAATAAACACTGCTACAGAAACTTCAAGCCTCTAGCTTGAAGCCCTATGTTCCACTGGGGAACGTGAAGGATAAAAAAAAGTGAGGTGTCAGCTGAGCTGAGAGTACTAGACCATGGTCAGGTTACATTGAGGACTGGTGAAATTTTAAAAATGCCACATTATAATCAGCCAAATATCCGTCATGATGGTTCTGTACTTGATATCAAACAGCTTCGAAGCTATATCAGTTTGTGTTATAAAAACTGGCCTGAAGTCACACGACTCCGCTTAAAAGTAAGTAAGTAATTTTCGTTGATCTTTGATACAGGCGTCATATTACCTCCACTTTCAATTTCTCGTACTTTATCTCGTGTGATAACAAGTAATTTAATTTATTTACGATTTAATTTTTTTCAACGTTAGGTATAGAAAAACTTGAGGGCGTGTAATAAATTATACTTAGTGCCTTGAAACTTCTGACACTAGGAAATAAACTTGCTACCTTTTATTAGTACTCATCTCGTTAGAAACGTTATTGACTGAGCGATTAGTAATAGGCTAGGCATTAGTCTGTCAATTATTTGATTATCGATCTAAGACTAATGCCAACCACTTTGAAACTAGCAATATTACCTTCTACACATTTCTGATGACTGACTGACAGGTATAAAACCACATGAAGCTACTGGATTGCATGTGATAAAAATTAAAATGGCGTAGATCAGCAGAGAATATTCATTTCCCTAGTAGAAACTCAATCTTCACTACCACAAGCGTTTTTCGTACCCTCATGCTGTTCTAATAGCTCATAGAAATCCCTATAAACGTCAAGTATCAATACCAGTTGGTAACAAAACATATGAAATGACAGATCAGTAAAAATAACTAATCAGTTGCGAAACTTGGTTAAGTAGCCTTACGTAATCTAAAAAAGGTTAGGGGCATGAGGTTAGCAACCCCATCCTGTAAAAATAAACACTACTGCTACCGAAACTTTAAGCCTCTAGCTTGAAGTCCTATGTTCCACCGGGAGCGTAAAGGAATAAAAAATAATACCAAATGAAAGCCCATGCTTCAAGCCCTATGTTCCATTGAGGAACGCAAAGCAATGATTATTATTTCTCATTATTAATACACATCAAATTAACATACAAGTTAAAAAAAGGAATCTTCGAAGCTACGGTAGTAAAAGGGGATTGGACAAACTCCCTCTGTATATATGATTCAGGGTTTTCCCTGTGGCCTTAAACATTTCTTTTTTAACTTGTTTGTCAGTCTGATGTGTATTAATGATAAGCAATAATCATTGCTTTGCTTTCCACATGAGCTTTAATTTGGTATTTAGTTCATCTTTCATAACTCTAAGATAGTTCATAAATATTCTGAATCTCTTACTCTTATGAACAATATTCCCGTTTCCATGCGCACTTGTAGTTTTATTGATAATCATTTCCGAGCAATATCCATCACTTAGTGATTTTAGATTACGTAAGACTACTTAACCAAGTTTCGTAACTGATTAGTTATTTTTATTGATATATCATTTCATATGTTTTGTTACCAACTGGTATTGATACTTGACGTTTATAGGGATTTCTATGAGCTATTAGAACACCATGCAAACGTACAGCTTTGAAGTGGAGTCACGGAAAACGCTTGCGGTGGGGAAGACTGGGTTTCTACCGCAGGTGAAAACATCTGTATTAACAAAACACTTCCGTGTTAAGCAAGTCAGTAAAAACTAACCCGCAAAACCCTTTTAACCAAAACCTTCATGGAGGAACCACAAAAAAAAGTAGTATACATAAGTAAAAGGAAATGCAACCAATAAAAAAGAATGGAAACAGTAGATTATATTTGTCAAGAAATCGCCGAAAGGCAATTAGACTTAGGAATCCCCTTGTGTAGCCTCAAAGAATTACTTCTTAAATGCACAATGAATGTTCACTTTGTATTCAATAATTCATACTATCGACAAGTAGATGGAATAGCTATGGGTTCACCATTAGGCCCAATATTAGCTGACTTCTTTCTCGCAAAACTTGAAAACGGGAAATTGAAGGACATCATCAAAGAGTTTGATATGTATTACCGATATGTCGATGATACATTTATCTTGGCTGATGGAAATGTTAACATAGACGAATTGTTGCTGAAATTCAACAACATCCACCCTTCGCTTACCTTTACTTGTGAAGAGGAACAGGAGAATAAACTACATTTCCTGGATGTCTTGTTAAGTAGGAGAGAAGATGGGTCACTTGGGAGAAGCGTGTATAGAAAAAGCACTTTCACGGGGCAATACACACACTTCCTTAGTTACGTGCCCATTAAATATAAAAGGAATGTTGTAAAATGTCTTGCGAGCAGAGCAAGAAAGATATGTACAGATGACCTCTTGCAAAAGGAATTTGAATATATTCACGATTCCTTGACAGAGATGGGCTATCCGAATAGTTTCATAAAGAAACATATGAAAACATCGGAGAAAAAACCGGAGACTTTGACTGCACGTAAGCAACCTCTATTTATTAAGTTACAATTTAATGGTGACTTATCAAGTGAGATTCTATTTCAAAGACTTTCAAAGAGTATACGTAGAACATTTTATGCAGCACACCTATGTTTGTCATTCTCTAGCCGACGAATGATTGGGACGCAAACGAAGGATAAGCTAGATAGTTTTGCCACATCTATGTGCATTTATCAATTCAACTGCACCTGCGGTGACAGTTATATTGGGCGTACTACTAGACAGCTTAGCCAACGTGTTAGTGAACATCTCCCATCGTGGTTTGGCAAAGGACAGACAAAAACAGTTCGTAGCTCAACTTTGTCACACTTAATTGATAGTGGTCATGTAATCGAGAAAACGAGAGCCTTCAAAGTGATTCATCGTATCCCACCGAATCTTTCCAATAGACTTCGTATTCGTCTACTACACACAGCTGAGGCGATAGGCATTCGAACTATTAAACCTAAACTATGTATTCAAAAAAAGTTCGTACAGCCATTATCCCTTCCTTGGCCTATTAAGACAACCAACTAATCTTTTCTACACCACCCTTTGTTTATGTTTTCAATCCATTTGTTATCATCCTTCCCTTACAATCTAACATTACTTAATCGGTTCATTTGTTTTTACTAGCCTTTATCGACTACTTCCACCTGAACAGTTGCTTGTTTAATCATGCTGTTTTTCATTATTCGTGTTATCACTTTTTCATCCTTATTATTGATAAGACCATTTTTATTATTACTAGTGTTATTATTATTATTATTATCATTACTACTATTATGACTAATTGCACAATTTATATTCACCATCGTATTATCCTATAGACAAAACACCATGATTGGTTTATATTTGAATTTTTATTTGTAAACTTATATATATGTTAGAGTTAAGCCTGATGAGATCTAATTGAAAAAAATATTGTTCGCTTAAATGTGTTGTTCTAAATTTTACTATGGGAATATTTAATATATTAAAAAAGAATGAGTTTATTTATATATGCAACATACCAACATACAGTTTCCACCTCATCACCACCTAGGTGTATGTATTCATCTACGAATAAGCCAAAAACTTCACTGAGTAGTTTTTCCAAAAATGTATATGTTCTGTTCAAGGCTGGATTAAGCGGGCCGAAATACCCCGTCTTTTGCGAACACTGCGACATAATTTCTGGATGTGATAAAGAGACACTTCGAGTATGGCCTAAGGGTTGTACAAAAACAAAATATAACAAAGAAAATTAATCAATTCGATAGTAGATTGATGAATCTGAGAAATTGGTACATAATGAAAACATTTTTACATACCTCAGAGAATTGTACACGCATTCTTTATTTTGGAAAAGTCTACCAATCACTATGCGCACCTGATATTTGCAAAACTTTACGATATAAAAATCTTGATCTAAATGCATACAAATTCTTTTGTAGTGAACCACGTCAACATATCACTGTTTGTGTTATATTAAAAGTAATCCATATCCCATTTGGTAAAATAGTGAGGAATAAAAGGCGATTCTCAAATAAGACAAAACTACATTAATGCTACCAAAAATGTTGCATGAAAAAACTTAGTATTATCTATGATACTCATGTTGAAGGAAGTAAATTAAAGTCTCTAAAGATGAACTAGTTAGTGGTGCTCAACATTCTTCTTACCAACAACCTTAAGCAAATCAAAATCATCTACAATTAATCTCAGAATCAGATAATTACGCTCACGTCCAAGGGTGACATGGAGGAGATCGTGTGAAGAGGAGTTGAAACAGTATGGACTAACATGGATGCAGGTGAAAAGTACAGCAGAAGATAGAAACAAATGGAGGCGTGCAGTTGAAGCCCTATGTTCCACTAGGAAGGCAAGGGAACAATAATAATAATAAAGGGTAGTAAAACTGTGTAATAAGATACATGTTAGTATCTGGTAACAAGTAATTTTAATCTATAATTGAATAACTATAGCCGGAATACACCAAGGATTGAACTGACACCGGCTTAATTTAACTCTTTAAACTGTAGCTAATCCGCTATATAACTGGATTACGAATTGTAACCAGTCTGTAAGTACTATTTTACAAAGTTGGCTAAGCGTACCTTGAAGAACAATGCGCCCCCCCCCCCCCTCAGCATTATAAATACACACAAAAGCAACAAAAACCTGTCTTAAAAAACTTATTTTTCATGATTTTGTTAGATATTTAAAAACTTCATTCACTAATTCAAAGCGATTAATAAAACAAATTGCAACAAAGTGAGTAAAACAATCGAATAACTTACGTCATTCTTGCAAAAGCAATGGATATCAAAGACTCGTTTGAAAAAACAGCCTACACATATTTCTAAGGTGGTGTGATGATTTTAATGTTAAAATCAAGTAAAAGGGAGACTTATATTCGCACACTTAACAAAATAATACACCACTATTATTGTTTTTAGAAATATTTTATAGACCACTTGAAGAGTGATTTTTAACGAAAAATAATTTCACTTATGATTATGAGAAATAGTGCTTTCTTCAAAACTGGATAGAGTAAGCTGATCTATTTCATCTTCACTGTTTGAATATCAATGTACAAAGCGCTATCACCAATTCAACTCTTGCTCTTGCACTGCACAAGTATTTTTTTTTTGTTTGTTTACTAATTCACTATTCTACAAGTATGACAAACAAAACAGAATCATTTCGCCAAATGAAAATTTCGAAACACTAGTTACACTCAAACAAATAGACTTAGTTGAGTAGGGAAAAAATGCAGTGAAACGCGAAAACACTTGGCACTGTGAACTTTTCCAGAGCGAACATTCAGTAAATTGCACAACTTTTTATCTATTTATAGAGACTAATAAAAATAAGTCAATAAAATGAATAGACCGTGCGGGAGGTTGGGTGATAAATAATTGGTAACTTTAAAAGCCTTGTTAGAGTCGCCTTGATGTCCAGTATCGACGAGATGAGCTAGTATTGAGCTGCGTATAGCTTAATGCGAACCTTTGGCAAACCAAGATGAGAGGTGTTCAGTAATTCGACGATGAAATTGCCTGATTGTATGCCCTATGTAACTAGATCCGAACGGGCAGTTAATCTGGTAAGTAACATGGAAGAGACAAAATAGGACAGTCTGCCTTTATTTCTTGAACTAGGTATTGGTCGCCTAGTGAACATACAGCATAGGTTAGTTGCATAGAAGGTCCTTTTAAAGGCGCTTCTCAGACGTTATAATAAGATATTACTATTGACATCACTTGTGAATTTTAATCTTAGGAAGACATGGATATTGGGCACAGAGGGCACTTCCGACTTTTCACTTTCTCAGTTTATGTATTTGCATGGAGGATTTCATCATGAGCTGACATTGGTTAGAGAACCATTGGAAAACCTGGGAGTACTGGACAGCTGTTTCGTCCTAGTTTGGGACTCTTCATCAGTACGCACCCACCGGGGTTCGAACCCAGGACCTTCTGGTTACAAGGTGAGCTTGTATACCATTAAGTCACTGGAACCCGATCCAATGGCCCATGAATTCTAACTTCCGCCAATTCACGACATAGCGCGACCATTCCGCAATGTCTTCTTCGATGAGCTACTGCCTCATCTTCAACCTGCTGTACCTACTGGTCACGGATCCCCAATAGAACCCCAGGTTAACTGCCTGAATAGGGCCAGTCACTAGTGAGCATCAGATTAATTTTCGAGTATTGGTTTTGAAGGGATTTTGTTTGATTGCATGAAATCCTCCATGCGAATAGTATAGAGTTGTTTGTTCACTGTCTCATTTGAACGGATAACTTTAGGCCGGTGAACCAGACATCTAACCAGAATACGTTTGTATTATGGAGGTACGAAACTCAGGAAGTGAGTATATTGTACAGTGGAAGTAGATTTTCGATGTAAATGTCAATATAATGTTGCGTTTGTTCATTTAATTATTAAAACGTACAAAGAAGAAAGAGAATCATTTTTTTTCTCCTTTAGTCAAGCTTATGTGAAGATGTGCACTATTGGATTTATCCAATATGTCCTTGGTCTGAATTACATTACAAAATATCATGAAATGGGAGACAATGGTGAGGATTAGTCATATTTGATTCAACGAATGTGGGGTAGGAAAACTTGACAAGTCAGTTCAAGGTTATAAAAGGTGTCAGGTGAGTGCCTAGTATAAGGTAGTATGCATTAAAGAGGAGATAGTAAGACTGCAACGAGAGGTCCATCATGAAATAATCAATGTGTGAAATGAAACAGGTGGACCTAACAGAAAGAGACATAACGAACTTTTTAAAGGATTTGAAAGGTTAAGGGTACAGATCACCAAAAACATACGAAAACATAAAACCCACTGGTAGCACCATCTCAAGCAAGTACGATCTACCGAAAGTGCATAAATCAAGAGTGCACCTACGTCCCATACTAGACATGTCATATTCACCCTATCAAGAGACGGTGAAGTGGCTAGTACAGCTAATTCAACCCTTGCATGACGAGTTAGTGAAGCATAGCCTCAAGGATAGATTCCAATTTATTGAAAAACGTCCGTTGAAATATAAATTAGCAAAAATAGAAATGTACTGTTGTTAAATAGATGATACTTTTGTAGTGTACGATGAAAGGTTACGTAATGATTTGATTTTGAGCATAGAAAGCCTTTGTACATACGACTACAATTCAAAGGTGATATACCAAGCGAAATAATTACGAAGAAATTAAGAAAATCAGTTCGAAGAACTTTTAATGCTGGCAAACTACACGTCGTATTCTCTACACGACCGATGGTGATTCCTCGATTGAAAAATTAAGCACATAGACTAGCCACTTCCAGTTGTATCTACCAATTCAACTGCGCTTGTGGGGCAAGTTATATCGGCCGTTGCTCTAGGAACTTGGTCTTTTGTGCTCGAGAACATCTCCCAGTATGGCTAAGTAAAGGTGTAGTAAAAACCATCAACAGTTCAATATTAGAACACCTGATCGAAACCGGCCACAAAGCCAGCATTGAAGAATCCTTCTCTATCGTCTACCGGTTACCGAATAGATTGCCAAAAACATTGAGGTACAGCATGCTCCAAACAGCAGAGGCTATCGCCATTCGCGTGAAACAAGGCATGCTTTGTGTGCAAAAGAAGCAAGTCCAGCCATTAATACTGCCCTGGCCTTCAGTAGAGACTATAAATTCATGAATTTGTATTATTATCTTTCCTAATTTTTCTGATATTCAGTGTATTGTTGTGTTGATACTATTGAACTGTAATCTATTGATATTATTGATGCAATGTTATTTAAACAACATAAATGTTGTTCATAACACGAATTCATTCATTCAGCATAACTGTAGAACCTGATGATGAAGTTATCGAAAAGAGTATTCTTTGCTCAATAACCATTCTATTGAAAAGTGCAGTAACGCTCACCCAGAGGTGTATTTTACCTACGAAGGATAATATAAAGACTCTCTGCAATTGCTCGACGTCTTACTAACGAGAAGAGAGGATGGTTCCGTCAAAAGAACGATATTTAGAAAGCTGGAGACCAAAGTTCAGTATATATACTTCCCTAGCTTTGTATAGATGAAATACAAACGTAATCTGATCAGGTGCTTAGCATTTAGAGTGAGATCCATTTCTTCAGAAGATTGTGTAGAGAAAGAACTCCAGATCATCCGGGATATTCTAAGCGAGGACGGATATCCAAAGAAGTTCATTTAAGTTAGCATAGGTTAAAATATTCGTGAACATGAACTGACAACGGTGGAGAGAAAGCCTTTAGTTTTACGTCTACAATTCAGGGGAGATACTCCTGCGGAGATTCTATCGCAACGTTTAACCAAGGCAATAAAGAAAACATTCTACTCTGCACATCTGTTCCTATCTTTCAGTAGCCATCCAATGTTCACCCAACAACTGAAAAATGTCTTACCTAACCTTAGGTCTTCTTCATGCATATACCACTTGAACTGTTCCTGTGGTTCAAGTCATATAGGGTATACGATTAGGCAGGTTCGTCTACAGATTCGAGAACATTTACCACCTCAGTTCAGCAAGGAAGAAGTTAAATGCATAAAAAGCTCAATTCTGTCACACTTGGTCGATACTGGACATCACATCGATGTCGACACAGCCTTCAGGGTTATACACCAAATTTCGAGGTAGTTATCACGTCCAATTACCTTACGCCTACCTCACATAGCTGAAGCTGTTGCAATAAGATCAACTAAACCGGAAATCTGCATCCAAAAAGAACACGTCCAGACGCTGTTCCTACCGTGGCCAAACTTAGATTATTGTTTCTTCTTCTCGCCAAGAGTGCCTTTCTCCTTATCCCTCTTGGTTTTTTGTGCTTTGCTTAATACTACAATTATTATTATTCGTTGTATACTCTTCACTCAAACATTCTTTCAATATTATCGAATTTTCCATTTATACCATCCGAACTTATTATTGGTAGTATTATCTCTTTTCTCAATATACACCTCCACCTGTTTCATTTCACACATTGATTATTTCATGATGGACCTCTCGTTGCAGTCTTACTATCTCCTCTTTAATGCATACTACCTTATACTAGCCACTCACCTGACACCTTTTATAACCTTGAACTGACTTGTCAAGTTTTCCTACCCCACATTCGTTGAATCAAATATGACTAATCCTCACCATTGTCTCCCATTTCATAAAAATTTGGTATTTGAATTCAGCCCAGCACGTTTGTCACACAAATACTATTTATTTTGACATCTCATAAATAAACTGTTAGTCTACGTAAAAATGCATCCGCCGCATGACTGACCATTATTATTGTAATGACAAGAAATATTATTTTTTATAATTGTAAGAACCTGAAGAGAAATTATTGAAAAGAACACTGTTCGTTCAGTTTGACCCTTAATTCATTATATGGGAATATTTACCACTATTAAATCTTTTAAATCACTTTCACACTTACTTTACTTGTTTATTCTTCCACCCACATGCTCAGTTGAAATGAATTTATTAACTGATTAATTGAAATTCTTTATATATGGTGTTACCTAGTCCTCGTTACATTGACTTAGGGGATTTTCACCTGCGTATTTTTTTCTTATTTCTATTGATATTTGTTATTCACAATATGGAGAATGTTATTAGGTGCTTAAAGGGAATCATTAGTAAATAAAGGTAACCCTTCTAATTATATTTTATTCTTGGTGACACTCACCAGCAAGTGAGATTATATACATATGCAATCACCTTGAAGGAACCCATGTCCCCCCTCTGATAATCGAAGCCGTGTCACCCACCGCTGCAGTCACAGACGTCCTTTTTTTTTCCTTCACGTTCCGCAGTGGAACATAGGGCTTCAAGCTAGTGGCTTGAAGTTTCTTTCAGGCATTACCACTGGCTTATTCGGGCTGACGACAAATTAATATAATTTACAAAATCACATGCAATGACTGTGGGGTAAAGTACATAAATCAAACCAGTAGATTGGGGTAGTCAGATTATCAGAAAATTTAATATGAAGCCACACAATACGGTAGGACATGTGGCTGACATTTCAGTAGACAGTGAACGTACCGGTCCAATGAAAACAATCAGCAGGAAATTCAAAACTATAATTCCAACAAATTATACAATAATATTGACAAATATATATGCACATACCTGGTATGTCAAATTCAGGAATAACTCGAATACCGCGAAATCGCGCAAATTCCAAAATTTCACTAATATCTTTTGAAGTATAGATCAAATCTTCTCGATAGGCACCCTGTAAATATATACATATATGAGTTACTATTTAGTGGCGACTTATCAAGTGAAATATTTTCCCAAAAACTATTCATAAGCGAACAGAGAACATTTTGAGCAGCTAACCTGCGTTTATTACTTTCTAGTCGGTGAGTGCTAGCAACTCAGAGGAAGAAGTTCCATCTCGCCGAATTTAGTTGATAGTGACCATCCGGTGAAAAAAAAACAACAAAAAAAGCACCACATCGAATCTTTCCCAAAGACTCCGGATTTGTCCATTGTATATAGCGGAGAAGATTAACAATAGAATTACGCATTTGGAGGGAGTTCGCACAGTCATTATCCCTACTTTGACCAGTTAAGGCTCAACCAAAGAATGATACCAGTACTACCCGTTATATATATCTGTTAATAAATATACAATTTAAATACACAGTCATCATTCTATTGGCAAATCATATGATTATTTTGTGTTTGATATTTCTATGTGAAGCTACGTATATTAGAGTAAAGCCCGATGAAACTTAACTGGAAACAGTATTGTTCACTCACATATATTGTTTCAAATTTTGTATGGGAATCTTTAATGATTTGAAGTGACTGATATTTCCATTATACATGATTACCAATTGCTTAGTCAAACGTGAGATGTTAGATAAATTAATGGAAGGTTGATTGAAGGCACACAGACTGAAAAGACTTAAAACTGTCAGCAATAGACGAAGTCATTGAATTTAATTCAATTTTAGATTTTCCCATCGTTTGATTGGACCGAAGTGCTCGGTCTTAGGTTGACATGTCGGCTTATTGTGCGGAAAAATCTAAAATTGAATTAAATAGTTGATATGACCCGTTGCACAAGAGGTGGCTCTCCTGGCCCAAGTGGTCTAGTTGATAAGGCTTTGGCGTTTGAAACTATGGGCACTGGGTTCGAGGCTCGGTGGGAACATCATCACTCACTGTGGGATGCAGGTACATCCACCTGATGAGTCTTAAATATGACGAAATGCGCATCCTGGATTCCACTGCTAGCCACCATCCACCAATTAAATACTAATTAAATGCCCAGACATCGTCAAGGCATCTGCACAAAAAGTCGACATGTCAACCTGAGACCGAGCACTTCAGTCCAATCAATCGACGGGAAAATCTAAAATTCAATTAAATATATTATTTACTGTTCGGAACCGGTTCACATACAGTTCATAAAAAAGTATCCAACATTTTCATTCACTTCTTAAGTGTTTGTGCGATCTTACAGTAACACAGAAAACTATACCAATAATGAATAAAAACACTGACGATGGAATCGTAAGCCCGATCGTGGGCAACAGTATGGAACAGACACCATAATCAAATGACCTTGGACCAGCCGATCAGATATCTCAGCACTACAAATGGATGCTTTTCATCATCTTCGATGTAAGTTTCACCCTGATTCACGGTCAAAGTTTGGGCTTATGACTAAGGTTAAGGTGAAACTTACAACGAAGATTAGGGTAAGAGTGAAACGTAGAACAAAAATTTAAGGTTAGGATGAATCTTGCAACGAAGATTATGAAAGGCGTCCATTTGCAATGCTGAGCTTTCTGATTAGTTAACTCAAGGTGAATTGACTGTGGTGCCTATTCTTTACTGTTGCTCAAACCGTGTATGAGGTTGCAGATGCACACTGAGGAGAATCAAAGCCAATAGCATACATACCTTGCTTTTAAAGGATTTCAATTCATCAAAAAAAAAACAAAAAAAAAAACTGTCTCAATAAACAATCAACTTCAATCAAACAAGCCATCTAAGTGAATAATTCATACGTTATGATTGGTGGTTAATATTCACTGAAATACAGTAGCTACTGTAGCAGATATGGTAATATGCTATCGATTATCTAGTCTGCAAAATGCAGTTGTTCATGGCCAGCATAAAATGCTACCGAGTAGTAAACCAATGAAATCCCAGATATCTGGCTAAACAATGAGGAAAGTGAAAGTATGAAACTAAGAGAGATATGGAGACAAAATACACACATACACACACATTCATTGGGATACATATAAACATATGAACGAGAACATGCATATATCCAGCTTTCTGCCTAATTGACACACACTTAAGGTATATAATAAACTGTAAATGAAAACTGTGTTACAGTTTAAACATACTTTGGCTGAAAGCTCAGGATATGCATGACTTTGATATGGAAATGACTGGTCATCCACAATATGCCAATGAAAGACATTCAGTTTATTGTAACTCATGGCCTCCTAAAGAAAACATTTGGATTAGTGAAAAAAAATTAGGAGAAAAAGGAATTCAAAACAAGCAATAAAGGTTAATAAAAAGCAAGATTTAATGAATTCATCAAAAATTTCGGTAGAACTCGTCAGCTGAATACTCTACATACACGGACATGTATATGGAATTCAATAAATGAATGAATATAAGGATGTGGTGTTAATATAATAATTTTGCCCTTTACTTAACTACACGTTTCATTTCAATAAAAAATCTATTGGTTCAATCAAACGGGCGGGGCACTGAAGGAAAACAAATACCAGTATCATCTTAGACCGACGTACCTGGACAAGACAACATAAGCGTACTTACGTACCAATCCATCAATGCACATAAAAATGAATTTAGTGATTAATGAGCTTAGTCCGTGGCTGAACTCTGTACCTAGAACAACAGGCTCATCATGTGAAGCTTCAAAACTTCATTTGGATTGTTTATATACATAAGCCACGAAATTGTCTAGATTTGGTAGGATTCGGATCAATAATTAAAAGGATAGACGACTATGTTGACATATTTTTCGGCATTTACACGTCACACATCATAGCATACCATACCATTCACACTGTATTCTATCACAATCACTCGGCCAAGCATATTCTAAGCCATGGAGTGACAAGTATATATTGTTCATAAATAATTATGCAGAGTTATTAATACTATTTTGCAAAAGTGTTGCTATCCACTCTCGTCGTAATTCCTGCTTTATTCATTATCACTGCAAATACTCAAAAACAAAAACCCAGTTAATTTTGTGAAATACTGTTCAAGTACATTGATTAGATTCATGACAGTTGACCGAAATCGAGATCTTTATCTCAGCACAAGCATTCAGGGTTTTCAATTATTCTGATATAGTTGCTGAAACCATAAGATCATCAGCAGTAGATTTCGGCAACTTATTTGCATATTGGTAATATTTTGCAAGCATATACACCTTTCTTGTCTAAAATTTCAGTAATAACAATTACATTCCTATTGGCAGATCTATATATATATATATATATATATGTTTAGATCACTAGGATCTGACTAGCTAGTAATGCTGATTGATATGAGTAGTGTACAACTACTCATCTCAATTAATCAGTAGTATATAGTTTAATGCATTTATAACAGATCCTATTCGCAGATTAGTGATTCAGTCAGTCCTAACTTGAAAAATCTAAATGAAACAACACAATTCTACTTACCAAGTTTAACAGGATTACAGATTTACTCATATAGTGCCTAGAAGTGTCAAGCATTAGCCCACGGTGTTTGAATCGTGGAAAATCTTCAATGTAAGTTTCGTTAATAAAAACCTATAGAAGAGGGTAATAAAACAATAAAATGAAAAGACGAACTAATTTATATAATACTATGCATCGTAAGTACACAATGACTGAATGAATACTTGACGGGAAATAAACAAACAGAACAAGAAAACAACGAATATAGCTAACAATTTCAAAAGCCTAATGATGCCTGACATCATACAAAATCGGATGAGAGTTGCAAATTTTGACTGAACGCAACAGTTAAAGATAATCCAATATCCATCACATTTGCTGTATCCGAATTAACAATTTTATTCAGTGGACTAAGCCAATGTGAGTATAATGAGTCAAGTGCTCACATAAACAAATCAAACACCGACTTCATGTAGAAAAAATTCCAGACGAATCTAAAGGATAACTTGTTTAACATTCAAGTTTAACTGAGGATAAAACAACTCATAGTGTGTCGGTGCGTAGAATGTGGTAGAATGCTCGCCAACCACGCATGTCGTCCGGGGGTCGATCTCCAGCCGATGCACTCCTTTATCTCGCTAAGCCAGTAATTAGACTGGTAAATAGGGATGGTTCGGGCATGAGGCTAGCAACCCCATCCCTTAAAATAATAATAATAATGATTTACTTTATTCCAAAAACAGTATTTGTGATACAGATTGGAATTTTCAGCATTAATCACAATATTGCATCTAATTTCCTCAAATTATAAATAAAATTAATCACACAGAAAATTTTTCTACATTTACAATAGGGTTAATATTAAAAAAAATGCAGCATATAAGATGGAAATAATAATAATAATAATAATAATAATAATACAAGTGAAAATTTCCGTGGGCTTGTTTCACACAGTATTGTCAATGCGGTATACAAATCCTAGCATGATTAAAAATATTGAATATAATGTTCTCTTTACATGATATGGTGAGGGAAAAAACAAAGATTACAGCAGTCATAGAGATAAGTTGGTGTTTGCAGTTATGGAAGTAAAAACAAAGAATCAACAGGACCATAAATATAATAGAAATAATAAAAGTGAAACTTGAAGGTATATAAAGATGGATGGAGGAAATTGTTTATTTACTAGATGAAAAAAGGTTAGTCAATTCTTGCCTGACGCTATTTTCATCACATAAAACACATGCCAAGTATGGTATCATAGAATTTTTATACTTAAACGTGCGAGCATACAGTTTTCTGAAGTTACTTCTTGTTCTACCTGAGGAGATGCAAGGTGAAAGCTGAGGGTGAAGTGGATGCTCCAAGTCAGACAAAATCCCTTTAGCAAATTTACTGCATGAAGTCAAGTGCCTATCGACAACGACGTTAACTATGTAGTCCACTGGGACACCACTCATCCTACTGACAGTCTTCAGCATTCTACGAATTGTGACAAAGTCCTTTTTAAGCAAACCAGGAAAGAATAAGGGTGAACAATAAAGAAGAATAGGTAGAATGCAAGAGTTTATGAACTGTAAGAGGAGGGGTTGAGTTATACCCGAGTGCCTTAACTTTTTAATGTAAAATGTCAGGCGGAATATTTTACTGGAGATCGCTGAGACATGGGAAGACCAGGAGAGATCAGAAGAGAGAATAAGTTCAAGATACTTAATTTCTGATTTAATTCCTATATCACTGTCGTCAATCTTACAACTGTCATGAGAATCGACGGCTTCTTTTAACTGTCGTTTACATCTTAAGCTGAAATTAACAGTTTGACATTTAGAAGGATTCAATTTAAGACCGTTAGACTCAGACCATTTACTGACTCCCGATAGAAAGCTATTTATTTTGGTACAATCTAGCTGGGAGTTAACAGCCATTGAAACAGTTAAATCATCAGCGTACTTCACTAAGTTTATTTCGTCAGAGTGAGGCAAGTCATGTAAAAAGAAAGAAAAAAGAAAAGGAGAAAGGACAGCGCCCTGAGGGACACCAGCTTCAGTAGGCAACGAAGTGGAAGACTTCCCTGTATACACGGTGTACTGCTTTCTTTCTGAGAAACAAGAATGTAACCAGTTAACAGCCCAACATTCTGTTTGTGAAAATAAAAACCACTGCTACAGAAACTTCAGGCCTTTAGCTTGAAGCCTTATGTTCCAATAGGAACGTAAAGGAATAAAAAACAAACAACTCATAACCAAATTTATGTAGTACATTTATCAAATATTTTTCAGTAGAGTAGATATGAAAATGAAAAGCTATACAAGAAAGTGCAAGAGATGCAACACACTTGAGATTCAAAGATAAAATCACACAGTTATACAGTAATATTTACTGATGATGTTTTGAGTACAATTTATTGCTCATAATCATATCAAGTTACTCACACAACTTTCTAACTTCTTTTAAACGAAGTTATGTTATATGAAGTTAGAAAGTTGTGTGAGTGCCTTGATATGATTATGAGCAATAAATTGTACTCATAAGGTCATCAGTAAATATTACTGTATAACACTGTGAGGCTTTATCAGAATAAAATTTCTCAATAATGGAATTATACTCTATCACAGTGCCCAAGTTCTATTCTTACATCAATGAGAGTAAAAGAGCCATTCATAGTGAATAGATATTTTTAAAAGGCAGAAATCACACAAGAACAGTTTAACCAACTTAAATATTCCCTTTATAGAATGCGATTTAAGCAAATACTTACTTTCGATAAATTTTCACCAAGCTTTACATTTACATAACGAAGTATTAGTCACAATGTGTCTAGTAAAATAGGATCAGAGTTCATGGATGTGAATTAATGGATAACAATCGAGGTAATAATAATAATAATAATAATAGAGAAGAAGAAGAAATTCATCTAAGTGTTTACAAAATCTAGGCAATAGTGAGTGTATAGATAGAATGTGAATACTGGTAGGGCGAGAGGGGAAAATAATTATTGTCACATAGTAATTAGATAATATAATAATACTGGTAAATTGTGAAACCGAGACTAAAATGTACAACTACAGCACAGCATAATATTGATAATACAGATAGCATCACAATTAAAACCTACTAACATAACACTTACAAGTATCCGGTGTCACAGGGAGAGATAACTATTCTAGGTTGGTGGTGAAGGCCAAGCGAGGGAGAGGAATTGAAACAAACTTTTTCTGAACACAGACATTGGGTTGAAAATGTTTTTATGACAACTGCCTCAGATATGCTTAGCAACCTAGAGAGCTGAGGTGGCACCTTGTATAGAACTGTGAAAGCCGAATTTCTATTTATCTTGTGCTATGTATCCACTAGGTGTATCAATCTGATTGACTTTATGACTCCTCTACCTAACCACGTTGGACAATGATCCAGAAGGCGACGATGGGCTTGCCGAGTCGTTGAAATGAGAAGTTAAATTCATAAGTGCACATTGAAGTGACCAGACTCAGTAGATTATCCTTCATCTGCGTTGGAATTATACAACTAGTGGCGAATTTTAAACACTGCTTTAGTTACTAGGTTCAGGAGTTCTGATGCCACTAACACAGATTAACTTAACTTGAACTGGTGCTTGGTATGTAAAAAAAGTCAATTGAGAATTAATATATGTGTAAAACTTGGGCACTGTGGTAGTAAGTAATTCCATATTAGTTTGTTTATTAAATGTATCACATAGTGAAACAGTATCGTTTACTGGATGACATTTCGAACAAAATTTATTGTTCATAATCATATCATTTGTAAACACACGACTTTGAAACTTTAGTTTTATAGTTTTCTTTGTCCTTTCCTATTGTATGGTTGCAGCAAGACACAACCGTACAATAGGACGGGATAGGATGACAGTTTTAAAATCTAATGTCACAGGATGGAGGGAGAGATTGATAACAGAAGCTTTGTTTATCGAATCAACTGCAAATACATGTAGTAGGAATGATTCAACACCTGTCCCAGATATCTGGAAAATTCTACTACCCCTAAGACAAATAGGAGAGGACAAAGAAAACCATAGAACTCAAGTTTCAAAGTCGTGTGATTATAATTGATGTAATGATTATGAACAATAAATTTTGTTCGAAACGTCATCCGGTAATAATAATACTGTTTCACTGTGTGATACATCTAATAAACAAACTAATATAGAATCAACTTAGAATTCTTTAGCGAAAAGTGTCTTCGTTTATGATAAAAATGGGTTAGGAAACATATGTTATGCTAATAAATAACGATAATTAGATCAACAAGACATAGCTCATTCATAATGATAAGTTTTATTTGATTTTGATTGCACAGGAGAAACTACGTACGGCTGTAGAAGAGAAAGCTAGTACTCTACTATAACTAGTAGCCTTACATTGGATTCTAAAAGCTGGCAGGCAATAACGATGTGCCAACTTCCATTTCGTTATTGACCTACTGATGCTAAACATTATAAGAAGGCATGATTTAACCTATAACACGAAAATGAGTGCAAAGTTAGGGAAGAGTTACACACCCATGGAAAACAGTAGAGGTTGTTGTCACCAATCAATTTAAACCATTGAATATACGGATAAAGAATACCAAATAATATTTATCCACAACATAATACCTTTCAGGTATTTTCCTAAAGATAACCATGAGAAATACTTATTAACTCAGTGGAGGAAATTTTAAACTCTGACACTACACCTATGCTTTAATTTCACAGTATATAACAATTATTGATAAATGTTCATTCGAAAACATCGGATAATTAGAAGTGAAATAACATCACTATAACAGTATTATTATTATTATTATTATGACGCGATTAGTTAGGATTTTCTTATGCGAAAAACGATTCAGACTTTCAAATTACATTGGTAATCATATGATATACAGCACTGACAAAACACATAACGTTATATCAACAATAATAAGTTTGTTTATCGCCTGTGGCCATATTATTATTATTATTATTATTGTATTGATGAAGTAAGTGGAAGTTAGAAAAACTACTAGTATAAATATCGAACATAACCAGTTCAAATACCGGTACGTAGAAAAGAGCTCCAACACATGACAATAAATTATTTGCATGGAGGATTTCATCATGAGCTGACATCAGTTAGAGAACCACTGGAAAAAATGGGAGTACTGGACAGCTATTTCGTCCTAGTTTGGGGCTCTTCATCAGTACGCACCCACCACCAGGGTTCGAACCCAGGACCTTCTGGTTACAAGGCGAGCTCGTAGACCATTGAGCCACTGGGACCCGATCCAATCGTCTTTGAATTCTAACTTCTGCCAATTCACGACATAGCGCAACCATTTCGCAATGCCTTCTTCGATGAGTTACTGCCTCATCTTCAACCTGCTGTACCCTACTGGTCACGGCCCCCCACTAAAACTCCAGGTTAACTGCCTCAATAGGGCCAGTCACTAGTGACCATCAGATTAATTTTCAAGTATTGGTTTGGTAGGGATTTTGTTTAATTGCATGGAGGATTTCATCAAACTAGGACGAAACAGCTGTCCAGTACTCCCAGGTTTTCCAGTGGTTCTCTAACTGATGTCAGCTCATGATGAAATCCTCCATGCAATTAAACAAAATCCCTACCAAACCAATACTTGAAAATAAGTTATTTGTATATCAAGAATCCATTGAGAGTAGGTGGAATATAGTTTTAATATAACGGGGGTTTGTGAATTCCTCTGTGCAACTGATAGTTATCTTGAGCGACACACAGGGTACTGCAATCGCTCTTTCTTTTTTCTTACAACTTGGATACATTACAAAATATCACCTAATATTTGGTTAGATATCATGCTACTTTTAAAACTTCATTAAACCAGTAGTTGACTAATACAATGCTTCCTGGCAGTAATAATTGATTTAAGTAATAAATCTTATTAATATTGTATGAAAATTTGACTACTATGCCATGATCATATCAAAAACAGATAACATTAATATAAGGCATGGTATTCACGTTTATCAGTGGAAGTGGTGGCAACTAGATCGAGAACAACTAATTGGACCCGTGAAGTCTAAACACAAAAACGTGAATTCGAATCGAAAGCACAGTATCTAGATACTCCAAAAAATCAGCATAAACATAGTAGATTTGTACCTTGTGGCAAGATAAATGTAAACTGGATTTCTTATACGGGCAATTGTAAAAAGTAAAGCAAAAAAACGTGTGACAATGACTATAAAATTCAAGTACCTATTGACATAAGTATTTTAAAGTTTTATGGCCTAACAAAAGTAATTCTGATGCATTCGGTGAGATCATAATAATGTAGTTAGCATACGATCATTAAATAAATTAAGTCAGAGTCATTGGGACCACTCAAACAAAACGTAAGTGTAAATGCTTGATAATGCTTTATAAAACAAAAATCTAAATGATCTAATTGTTTATTTCTATAAATCTTAAATTGTTACTCAACGTTATACCTTTTCAACTGATTTTAACACAATCGTAGGCTGTAAAGGATTTGGTGAATAAGCAGATTCACAGGTATCTAGTGTGCCTGTTTTAAGTTTAGTTAACAAGCTAAAAAACAAAGATGAAAGCACGCACAACAACAACAACAGCAAAGACTTGACATTTAAGTAAATAAGCTTACATATGACTGATCTCCTGAAGTCCACATTAACTGACTCAAAGTTTCTAAAGCTCTTAAAGCACCCCAAGTTTCGTTGGCGACGATAAGAATCCCGTCTTCTGAAACACCCAAAATATCTAGCAATTGAAGCACAAAAAGAAGGGAGATTCGTCATATTACCATCAATCACGTTACCTATAATAATAATAATAATAATAATAATAATAATAATAATAATAATAATAATAATAATAATAATAATAGTAATAATAATAACAATAATAATAATGAATAGAAGACTACCTTCAATTCAGAAAATATTTAAAATAAGGGTGGAAAAACTCATCGATATGACAAAATGTTGAATTTCTGAATAGCAAAGTCCATGTGTGCAATTCCAGGTTAATAACCGAAAAATACTCAGTGCATTCCGTTATCTTTTCAGTCACATTAACTGAAACACAGAAAGTACCGATCTATAAACAAGGCTTTTATGGGAAATGTGATCGCCAAGAGACTTAAATGTTTCAGATTTTGAATAAAGCAAAAAAAAAAAAACGGTTTGTGCAGAATAAATACCCATATAAGGCCTATCAAAAATACACAAAGAACATACCCCCCCCCCCTCCTTTGAGACTAATACTTTCTATGATCAACTCGCCTCAGCACAAAGTTTCTCGTTGGCTTGCAGAGAAGTTGGAATCTATTCGTCAAAGGCTAACTTTTTACATCATGAAAGATTTATTTCATTTTGTCGAAAACGTGAACCACATGAACTTTTCAAATACGTTCATAGCGTCAATTGATGTAACCTCCTTCTTCACAAGAATCCCAATCAATGAAACTATAGAGATCATTTATCAGGATTCTGATCTTCTCCCACTCCCAGTGTCGGAATTCAAAAGCCTTCTGCTAATTTGTATCATGGAAGTACAAGTCCAGTTTGACAACACTCTTTACCACCAAATAGATAGTGTAGCTAGGGGTTAGTCCACTTAGCCCTGTCAAATCTTGGGAAAACAAAGTTGAAGCATGCAACTGACGAAACAACTTCCCATTGTCGATATGTCGATGACACATTTGTAGTGTACAACAATGAAAGTCATGCTTCCTACCTACTCAGATTACTCAACGACGCACATACAAATATTGAATTTACTATAGAACATGAAAACGATGGAAAGTTTCATTTCCTTGACACTGCCATGCAACAGCTGGAATATGGTAGCCTTTAGATGTTAATTTACCGATTGCCTACATGGAAAGGACAATACCTACATTTTAATAATTTTTGTACAAATAGCTATAAACGAGTACTAGTAAAATCTCTATTCTATAGAGTCAAGAGAAATTAGAGGGAGAATTTCTGATTCTCAAAAAGATGTTGAGAAACAACGGTTACCTTCGGAGATCTGAAGTCGCAAATGTTAAACAAATCACACTGGGAAAAAATCCCATTTTCATTCAACTTCATTTTAAAGATGATAATATTGTAGGGATAATCAACAGAATATTGAATATGTCACCAGCCAGAGTCTGTCCTGCAGCTAAGTTGGTTCCCGTTTTTCGGAAAACTTGCTCTTCGGTTCAATCTCATGTTAACTCCAACTATGTATACAAATTTAAATGTATCTGCGGGAGCAGTTACATTGGAAGAACAGAAAGAAGGGTATAGCTCCGATTTTCTGAACATGTACCAAAAAGCCTATGTCTAAAGGGAACAAATGCTTTCAGTAGTGCCATCTCCTTGACACGGGTCATGAAGTGGACTCTGCGAGATCCTTCAAAATTATCAACAGGCAAAAGAGTTCAATTCTCCTTAAGTTCGCCAAAGCAATCTCCATCAATCGCCTGAAACCTGATTTGTGTTCAAAAAGAAGCGTTATCAGTCTTTCTTTGCCCTCGTAATGGATTTTTTCATCCTCTCTTCCTTTTGATTGCGTAAAGCCGAAAAATTCCACTGTGTATGATTATTATTGTTTGGGATAAAGTGATTGTTATTTTCACCGTATGCATATATTGATTTTTTGTTTAAAAATGAAATCTCTGTGTAATTATGTTAGAACACATTAAAAATGCCCATTAAAATCTTTCAAAAGAAATTGTTCCTGTACATAAACTCAATAATGTCTTTGGGCTGTAAGCGGCTACTGAGAGGCTTACGAAATAAATGATGATAGCATTTTATTCCGCACAAACTGTTGCTCTTGCTTCACTCAAATTCATAAAGGGAAATACCTTTATGATGTTTCAGATTTGTTTGTAGGAAGCGTTATGCCAAATGGCTGTTGAAGGTTAGTGAATTAATATGAGACAGTTTAATTTTTTAAAGTTCAACAGTGGGAGTTATTTTATTTATTATTATTATTCCCTTGGGTTCCGAGCTGAACATAGGGCTTCAACAAAACATATCCACTTTCTTCCATTTTCTGCCGTCCACTTCAGCTGAGTCCACGATTAACTATAATCCCTCATATCTTCCTTTCACGATCTTCTCCATGTCACCCTTGCACCAACGACCCACTCGTCGCTTCCCATCGAGATTCCACTCGAGCAATAGCCTGGTGAGTAATTTCATTCGACGGTTTACTCAGTGTATGTCCGACCCATCTCCATTTTCTCCTACGTATTTGTTGAGTGATTGGCTCTTGGTTGGTTTGTTCCACTGCAGAGTTTCTTGACGCTGATTCTATCTAGCGGGCCATTTGGTTTTCAGTATGGAGACAGCCAATGGCGCAGTTGTTGATAAAACACTACAGTAGCCTGTTTGAAATCCTTCTCGTGACCCGCTGGTCAAGTTTCTGACCCGTATAGAAGGACCGACTTTACATAAGTGTTAAAAATACGAATCTTGTTCCTTAAGCTGCGGAGTGCAGAAGATTTTCAAACTGGTTTCAGGTTGATGAAGGAGTACCTCGCATTTCCGATTCTGGTTTGCTTTGATATCTTCAACTATTCCACCTGTAGTTGAAACGATGCTTCCTAGATAAGTGAACGAGGTAAGCTCTGTTAAATATCTCCGTTAATGTTGATTGGTACTGTTTTTTGTTGCTGTTGCGGTTCGTTGGTTATCTTCATCACCTGGTCTTCTCTATGTTCACCTGGAGTCTTGTCTTCGCTGCACACGTCTTCAACCAGTTTGTCGGTTTTCGTCTGGCACTTCTCAGTCAACGCTGTCTGTCGAAGGCCTTTTCGAAGTCGATGAAGTTGAGGTAAAGAGAGGTTTGACTGCCATTCTATGCTTCGTTCTGTGATGACAATGCATAGAGTTACAATGGGATCAGCACATGACTTGCTTTCCTGAATCCAACTTGTTACTGGTGGGGGACGCAGTTCCGTAACCAGTCCATCCTTTATTCTCTCCAGGATGATGCCACTTAATATTTTACATGGTGCGGATAAGAGTATTATTCCAAGCCAGTTCTTGCAGAGGCCAAACTAAGTCGCCCTGATTTGGCAGCTTGATAAGTTAGCCAGCCTTTTTTTCAACTGCTGGGTACCTTTCCCTTCTTCCAAACCTTTTGCAATAATGGCGTCGGTATATCTGCCGCAGTCTCTGGCTCCATTTTCAGTGCTTCAGGGGCGGGGTAAATTCCGTCTGGTCCTGCTGCCATCCCGACTGGACTTCAGTAGCCTGATCGCATTCAGGTTTTCTGCTTTCATTGGGGGATTGGTGTCCACTGGCAGTTCCGAGCGTGCTGTTGGTGGTATTTCTGGCCGAGTTGCAGGTGATGGTCGATTCAGGAGTCCTTTAAAGTGATCAGCCCTCCCTTCTTAGTAATCAGGTTCCCTTGAGCATCTATTGGTTTCATCATCTGGGTTGATCTCTTCCCCGATAGAGACCCGGTTATCTGATATATTGTCCTGAGATCTCTTTTACCTGTGGCCAACCAGTGTGCCGTTGAATTGTCTTTTGTTCTTTCCTAGCATTGACCTCAGCCTCTCCTGTTGTCCATCTTTGAATTGAATCATTTTCTCTTTTTCACCATCCTCCTCAGGACAACATGAAGATGTACTGTTGAAGCCAAATGTTCCACTCGGAACCCAAGAATGTAACAATAATAATAATAATAGACGTTCGAAGGTCATAGCTTTAAAACCTCATAGAGTTTAGGAACAAGTTCATGGAAAATCTTCATCTTACCTGTATATTTCCCCTACTTACTAACAAATTTTCAAAGGGATTATTAAGAGGTTATCCAATAAAAATAGTCGTCTCATACATTCACTTTGAAGTTATGTGTGGAACCCATCAATTTCAAGGTAGTTGTTATTACTAATTGACATTAGACTGAGAAACACGAAAAAGTGAATAATTTTAAAGTTATTCTCTCTTAGTTTGAGATTCTTCAGCAGTCCTCATCCACAAAGTCATACGGAATCGAGACCAACATAGTGAACAAGTTAGTATACGTCTACCAGGAGAGAAATCAATTTTAATAGTGCCATTCAACTAAAGTTAGTTCATGATACAGTAATACTATTGTCCCACATCATCAATGTATATTTGCCTTCACAACCGGAGTTGGATGAACTTTTCTGAGACAGCTTAAATCTAAAATTTCAAGAAATTCATCACGAAACAAATTGTCAATAAGCACTGGAACTGAAAATCTACTTTTGTCTTAAAGTTCTTATTGATATTTGATCAAATCACTTCGCCCGTATTATTAGGTAGTAAATGCTTATAAGCCTGCCCATAAACAGGTAGTCAATTACTATCAAACTCGATAATATTATTATTATTATTATTGTACCTTTGGGCTCCTAGTGGAACATAGGGCTTCAACCACACGTCTCCACTTGCTTCTGTCTTCTGCTGTACTTTTCACCTGCGTCCATGTTAATCCATACTGTTTCAATTCCTTATCACACGATCTCCTCCATGTCACCCTTGGACGTCCCACTCGCCGCTTCCCTTTCGGGTTCCACTCGAGCATTGGTCTGACGCGCGATGTCACCCAACGGCCTCCTCAGAGAGTGTCCAATCCATCTCCACTTTCTCCTGCATATTTGTTGAGCGATTGGTTCTTGTTTTGTTTGTTCCCATAGTTTCTTGTTTGTGATTCTTTCCGGTCATCTGATCTTCAGTATATAGAACGAAGACAGTTGTTGATAAAGGTCTGCAACAGGCTGTTGGAAATATTCTTTGTGACCCGCCAAGTTTCTCATCCGTATACAAGAACTGACTAACTTGACGTTTGTATTGAAAATCCGAATTTTGTTGTTGATGCAGGCTGAGTGACGAAGATTTCCAGATTGGTTTCAGGTTGATGAATGTGTTTCTCGCCTTCCCGATTCTCGATTTGACATCCTCGTTCGTTCCTCCTGTAGTTGAGACAATGCTCCCTAGATAAGTGAAAGAAGTAACCTCTTTCAAATCCCTCCCGTTGATGGTGATTGGCGCTGGATGTTGCTGTTGTAAAAGTGTAACTCTGTTTTGAAATGAGTCTTCTTATTTGTATATTTCTTGAGTGTGTTTTTTTAAAAAGAATTTTGCTATACGTTAGGGGCTTACATTTTAGGTGAACAAGTGCATAAGTCACTAGTGGGAATCGCAAATCATTGTAATTACGCACCTCAACTTTCATCGACTGGATATTAGAGAGTCACCGTTGGTAGACAAAGAAATAAGTTCGACACATGTTAAATAAGCAAAAACAAATATTGTTCTTTATTTAAGGCATAAAAATCATTTAAGTAATAAATATAAAAAGGTTAGAAACAGTTGGTTGAAAGCTTACACGATTCATCCATATCAATGTGAGGCCAGGATGAACCAGATTTTATAACATGTAATAAAGCAAACTTTTGACTCCCCCTATATGGCATAATCAATGAAGATAAATTGTATTTTGTGATTAATCGACTTATTTGTCCTGAAATATACTGACGGTAGGAAGCATAGGAACGGGGTGAAACAAATGGCATATGATTCTTGTTCTTCATTTTGTTGATCTTATAGGTATTTTTAACTGTGTTACTGTCATACTGGTGACTTTTTGCGGTATTTCTTTTGCATTTCAACTCATAATTTTCAAAATTATGGGCGGGTAATTTGTAATCATCATGTTGCCAAATTTTTGGATAGATACCGAAGCCAAGTTTGTTTTGTATGATATAGGTATATCGATTTATGGCCGACTGGAAAACACAGGAAAAGGAACTGGTGTAGTAGTAAGTAAACCGGTAAGTAATTAGTAGTGAACCTTAAGGTAATACATAAAAATAAATAAAACACGTTCAATATACATACTGTGTATTTGGACATATTACAGTATAGAAAAATGATATCCTTCAAATGAATACTATAACGAATAAAAAAAATGGATAGATAATCTCATAAAAATAATTTGACATTGTTGGAGTTAAGCAGAACAACGTGTTTACACTACAGACTGTTAAAGCGTTTGCCAAGCAAAAAGGATAAATATTTTTTGTTTAAGATGAGGAGATCTGGTTGATTTCAAAGTAGAATTTATCATGAACGGACGTCAGTTAGGAAAATACTGGAGAGCAGAGAGCACTGGACAGCTGTTTTGACGAAGTTTGAGACGTATAGTGTATAAGGACAGATACTTGCTATACCATGTGAACTGAATTCATGGGTCATTGAATTCAAACTTGGTGACCGAATGGTCAGCATGTTGGCCTCATAACCTGATGACCCTAGGTTCGAAACCCGATTACATATTGGGTGAGAACGGTAAAAGAGTCTTCAACCACGATGAAACTGCTGTCCAGGGCGTCACAGCTTTTAATGGTTCTCTAACTAACATACATTCGTTACAAAATCTACCATGAAAAATGATTGTAGTAGTAGGTTTTATTGACGTTGGGTTTAAACAATGAACGTCTGATTGAAGAGTGCCACAGAGTGTTTCTTTGGATGTGTTTAAATTGAACAGTTGTATTAAGAAAGAAAATTCGAAAGTATTTTCATCAAATACAATCCACACAGAACCATTCATCCAAAAATGGATAGGCATTAGAATTTCCGGTTATTGGTAAGAGAAACACTTCACTCTTGCTAAGTCTCGCTACAATCAGAAATGCTAATTATCCCACAAGCGAAAATCAGCCGCTTTTGTATCTTTGCTTATGTAAGTGATATTGCTAGTACAATATGACAATATGCAAAAATTATTCCACTTATTATTTTTGAAATAAATCATCATAAGATGTAATTCTAACTATAAATCCCTTTGAGAATATGAACAGATATACAATAACATAGAACCTAGCTAACATTAGTCTGTGGTGATAAGAGCTTTCACACTTAAACATCACATCGAGTCAAATGTATAAGAAAAGAAATGGAAATAATTCACCAGAGGCTCTATAGTGATATAACACAAACGAAGAGAAAGTAAAGCAAATAAATATGAGTAAGGCATTTAGATCAAGATTAGAATAAGGCACCAATGTAATGATACCACTGCAGTTGATTTTGAGTCAAGCCACAACAGATAAACTATACTTTTCTGTGCAACTCAAACCGACAGATAATGACTTCGTAAATTGATGTTATGTTTTCTTTTGACTACTGTTTACTCTTTTACAACCCAATGATAAATTCTTCAACGCCTGACGTCAAATTAGACAGTGATAAGGAACAAGTAATGCAAAACCTAATCAACTCAAGCAATGAAAATACGTAGTCACCTAAAGCGAATTATTTATAGGTGCTCGTAAACAAAAATATATAAAGATCAATCCAATTTACTTGACTATATATACCGCTATATATATACTAAATTATTTTATCTATTGTATAATTTTACTGCACTATTCACACCCACCCTCTTGAAGTCTCCACCATAATATATATAAATTAACTCTGTTGCTCTATCTGGGATTTTGTCTCTAGTCCATCCTTGTTTCCAAGCGAAATCAAAACACCATCTCTTTGTCTAATAACTAAATAAATAGTTAATCTTTTAACATTAAATAATTGTCTACTTACAGTATCTTTGAAATTATGGTGCCTATGCTTTGTGCCTATAACTTGAAGTCATTGTTGCGTTATGTTTCAATCGGCTAGCATCCCTATTTTTTCTTCACCCTCTCTAAGATTATTATATTTGTTTTTATTTATTTAAACGCAGAAAACCTTGGTACAATATGGCACCAAGAAAGATGCGCCACACAATAATAATAAAACAACATAGATTAAAAGTAAAAATATAGGTAGAAAACGGATAAAGAACTTCATCAGGAAGGAAAACAGTCATGTTTAACAAGTTCAAACAGTATTCGTTAACTATCATCAGGAAGGGAAGAAAGAAGGAAATTGCAATCGCCATTGATTACGATTCTTGGCCATATCCGATAACGTTGCGAGCTATCTCGCGGACCCCAACCAGGGAGCTGTGACGCACCAACCGATGCTAATCTAGCACAAATATCCTTCATCCCACGACGCCACGTCATGGACTGACCACCCCTCCGCCTCTTCCATCCCTTCCCAGGGCTAGCGAACAGAGACCTGTACGGAAGCCTCTGGGATGACATTCGCAGAACATGTGCAAGCCACCAGAGCCGGTGTTTCCAGATGATGACACTCAATGAATGGTGATCTCCACTGTGTTCAAACACACGCCGCCGAACCTCAGAATTACTCACGCGATGGTGCCATCGAACGCAAGCAATCCTGCGGAGACAGCGATGGTCGAACACGCAGAGTCGCCGCACATCCTCAGCTCGGAGAGGCCAGGTTTCACAGGCGTAGAGCAAGACAGCCCGCACCGAAGCATTGTATACCCGACCTTTGACAGCCAAGCTAACGTCGCGATGGCGCCAGAGGTGGCTCAAGTTGATGTATGCCACCCTAGTCTTCATTATACGGTTGGAAATTTCATCCGTCACCCCTCCGCCAGCACTCACACAACTACCCAGATACACAAACTTATCAACAACGTCAAGCGGTTCACCCGCAAGAGTGAGTGCAGGTACAGGCTCCTGCCAATCTTGTAACAGTACTTTGCACTTAGAGGGTGCAAAGCACATACCATACTTACAGACACTGATCGCCAACTGATTAAGTGCGATTTGGGCAGCATGCATGATATCGCACAGTTAGACGATATCGTCTGCATACTCGAGGTCGGAAAGTCTATCTCCAGGTGGCAGATCTACACCACCATCACGCACATCCTTCAGAGCTGACTCCAGAATGTCATCGACGGCAAAGTTAAAGAGAAATGGAGAGATTGGGCAACCCTGTCTAACCCCACTGTTGGTTGGGAACAGTGATGATAGTTGGTTGTATGCCCCCACTCTACCTGAGGTGTTTCTGTATAGGGCTTTCAAGATGTTAACAAATTCCTCAGGTACCCCACTCTCTAACAGACAGTTCCAGAGCACAGTTCTGTCCAACGAATCGAAGGCAGCCCTAATATCAAGAAACACAACGATCGTTGGCCTGCAACACGTGTGGCGGTGTTCTAACAACTGACGAAGGGTGAACACATGATCAATGCATCCACGACCTGAACGAAACCCAGCCTGCTCTTCGCGAATCAATCCTTCACGTATTTTGCACAGCCTGCGAAGCAAGACAGCAGCCAATAATTTAGACGCGACTGGTAGCAAACTGATACCCCTATGATTGTCACACAAATTACGTCGACCCTTTTTAAAGATGGGGACGATAATAGCTTCGTTCCATACCTTCCTGAACAACCAAGTTAGAGCCATTGTGAGAGTCTCGCCACCATCTTTAAAAAGAGCCGGGGGTAAATTGTCTGGGCCGGGCGCCTTATGGCGTTTTAACACTTGGAGTTCCTTAAGGACCTCCGCTTCGGTGGGTGGGTCGGTATTAACCGATCAAGGAGCACTGGGGCTAATGACAGCATACATTGAAGCTGGTGGCCAGCTAAACTGTTTCCGAAGTGCTCTGTGTTAGGAAGAGGCAAAACATGCAATTATCAGGTCATCAGTCAAGTGATTATCGCGTTATTAACAAGTCGTTGACATGCAATTGTTCCTGCTTCTGATTGGACGCTTGCACATTTCAAACTCTCAACCGGATTGGTTGATTTCCAGTCTACCTTATTTTCTGTATAAATACAGTCACTTTTGTCATAACAAATGAACCTGGTTTTACAGTTGATTCTCTTCGTGTTCTGCTTTACCAGTTAAGTGGGTGCTGGTTAGTAGTTAAGCAGTGACCGCGTGACAAAGGATCGAACATCATAACACTCTGCCCAGCGTTCCAGGCGTCTTTTCAGGCTGGTAATCGGGGTGCTATCTGCCTCACAGACCGTCTCGCTGACACCTTGTTTCTTGCTGCCGGTGGCTCGGATGAGTTGGAACAGCTTCCGACTGTTGCCAGATGCAGCAGCTGACTCCATCTCACCCGCACGTTCTGACCACCAGGCCTCGCGGTCCTTACGTAAACACTTTCTTATCTTGCGCGTCAGCGCTTTTCGCTTATTGCTGTATTCGCTGCCAGCCGGAATGGACCGGCGTTCATCCAGGAGTTGCAAGGAACTCACAGAAACCCAGTGGTTTTTGGCGGAGCATTCTTTCAAGCCGCAAGCGGCTACACTCGCTCTTTGCATGGCACCTTGCAGATGAAGCCAATGTTCATCTATACTACTTGGGGGGTTGCTAGCTAGTATTGACTGTAACTCATTCTGATATTTCAAACAAGTAGCAGGTGCTACTAGTTTGCTCACATCAACGTTTAGACGACGCCTTTTATGAACCCCACCAAATCGCAAGATGAACTTGGCGCACACTAATGCATGATCGGAGTCCAGGCATATGCTCCAGAAGGAGCGACAGTCTTGTATGCATCCTCGCCACCGGAAACTGACAGCAATGTGATGGATCTGAGTCCAAGCTTGCTTCGCAGAGGGAGGACGCCAGGTAGCGCTACGGCGATGGTTGTGCCGGAAGTTGGTGCTGGCCAGAAATAGGTGCAGAAGACGGTCCCCATTATCTGACCTGCGACCATGTATTCCCCATTGACCACCTAGACGACTCTCCTCTGAGCTCAGACGCCCGACCTGTGCATTCAAGTCCCCAGCCAGCACTATGATATCCCCTCGACCCGCCTGTCTCAAGAGATCGTTAAGTTGGTGGTAGAACTCGTCCTTCATTGCATCCGGGCTGCAATCTGTTGGTGCATAGGCAGAGACAACAAATAGACACCGCCTATCTGGCCTACTACTCCTTATTTTCGTATAACCTTCCAGCCTCACAGCACATAAACGACTGTTAATGGGAATCCAGTCGAGCAGTGCAGCTTCGGCCCTAGCGCTCAGTTCGACGCCGACACCAGCTACGCCGGATGCCGACGCCACAGGGTCCGCGGACAAGCGCAGGTGGTACATACTACTAGAACTTCCAGATGGAGAGGATGATCGAAGCACTTCACTGGGATCTTGAATGCGAGTCTCCGAAATGCAGCAGACATCGATAGCGAGGCTTTCCAACGTTCTTACCAACCCTGCCTGTTGTCCGATTTGCATCAGCGTCCGTACATTGTAGGTGGCCAGCTTGAACGCGGCACGCGGTTTCTGGATATCTGTGTTAGATGTCACATTGGGGACAGCCATTTTGAGGGTTACTCACTAACATCTCGAAACGACACAGATAGGTTAGGAATCCAGACAAAGGCGAAAGGCTGTCGAAGGTTAAGAAGTCAAGGTGAGCAAAGGTAAAATACAGGAAACTAAGTATAAAAATAAAAGTAAGGTTGGAAAGAGATATGTTACTTGAGACATCATTATTGCTTGAACGCATTGTTACGAGCGCGCGATAAGTTCCACTGATATTTTGTTGCTCTATTTCATTTATTGTGTGAGGGCTGAGATACTGCCCGGGCGCCCAGACCGAAGCAGGTGGTTTTCTTAAGGGACCACTCCCCGAGCCTTTGACTTGAAGTCTAATCCGCAAGGCAGCGGAGCAGCGTCAGGAGCTGCGTTCCCATGGTTGCCGGTGACCCATATGGGTTCATACGCCATTTGATCCGATTGAATTCTGGAGCCTATGTACCCCATGGTAACTGCTTTTAGTCTAACCGCTATCCAAACAACATTCCTGACATGGTAGGACCTGCAGGGACATGAGTCCCAGCTGGTTTAGCTTGTTGGGTCACTGCGGCATTCAAGCCCGACCACCACGGCAAGGTAGCAGTTATCGGCCGGGCTCTGAGATTATTACATTTAATGAAATCTTTTATGAGGTACATAACCAATTAATTTTTCTCACAATTCACGTATGAAGCTATATATATATATATGTATAGACGACTGTGATGCTTGATAATGAATTCATCAAAAAGACACTGTTCGCAGAATCACTTGTTTCGATATTTTTAATAGATTATCACTAATAGTGCCTTCTTTTTGGACCAAGATGTTCTTATATGCAGACTGATGATCAAACGGAATTAACTTTTAGAAAAGTGTATCCTGTATGTATTATCTTTAGGTGTAATGCTGTATGGCACTGATTCTGACAGACAGCACGAGTTTTTTTGGAATCATAAATATGTAATAATGGCAAATGGTCTGTTTTACAGCTATCTACAACATTTGTGACCAACATTACGGGAGATTTTTTCATCTCACCAACCGCATTCTAAATATTTTCCATCACTTCAGAAACCCGATTTTAAGTCTTCTTTTGTTTATTTTTGTAGTTGTTAGATGAATTTTATTGTTTACCTCACAAACATCTAACTACACTAATTGGCTGAAGTATTACAGTTGGATCATACTATTTGGAAGACATTCGTACAATCATAGTTTGTATTACATATACAACAATCGATATTTGTGTCAGTTAGCTAATGAATGTACTGGATCGAAATTTGTACGAGAAAAATAAATACAACGTACTTTCAAAATATCATTTGAAATCTGGTTTAACTTGAAACTGAAGTTTTCCGAATCCAGATTATGATAACAAAACGATGATGACCAAAACTGTGGTAATGGCCAAGGTGATCCAAAAGTTGGATGCGGTGATCGGACAACGGGCACTTGTATTCCTGGAAATGGTCTATATCGCCAAGTATCGTCCAGGATAATATCATCGGGTAATGATGACTGGAATGAGTAGCCAGTTCAACAGAGCAGATTAGCAAAATAATGAATATAATAAAACTTTATTCATCTTACGTGAATGTAAAGGTGTTAACTAACTTATTCAACAATTGAACTATAAACACATTTACATGTAAACTAACTGACTGGAGAAACAGTAAAGGCTACAATTTTTATAAGCAGACAAATACATTAAACACCATCAATATGTACACATCGACGCAACTGGCCACAGGCTACAACAGAAAAGAAACAGAAAATCGCAGACAGGATGAGAATCTTAGGAGAACGTAATTCTCCAACTTGGATAATTTTACAAGCAAATTCAAATTGATACTGACGAAAACATTGATTAATAAAATCTTAGCTAGGAGTATATATATATATATAAATGAAAAATAATGTTACCTCTGATAACATAGAACCAGAAGGAAGGAACTGTTCATCTTGAAGTGCAAAATAGTCTGTACAGAAAACAAAGAAACAATAATTATATGAAGTACAGTCAGAAAAATGAATCTACGTCTTGAAGAAAAAAATTTTGCACACGTCGACTGTTTTCTAGCTTTTAACCAATTAAACATATTAGGATAACATTAAAAAAAAAACAAGCACACGCACAAACAATCAAGTTATATAATTTATCACAATTTCACATTTCAAATGTGCTCAAGGCACGCGGATGACAAGTAAGTAATAATTCGGTTTCTGTAGCTTCAACCACATAAAACAATACCGCCAGTTTTAGTGTTTCCACGGACCACTGTTGTCTGGATAGGCACTACCTTCAAACGCTTTGTCGCAGTGAAGTTCTCTGAAATATCATTTTATCTAAACCAAGTGGGAAATGCCATGAACGGAAAAAAATGAGATGAAAAAATCTCCCGTAATGTTGGTCACAAATGTTGTAGATAGCTGTAAAACAGACCATTTGCCATTATTACATATTTATGATTTTCAAAAAAAAACTCGTGCTGTCTGTCAGAATCAGTGCCATACAGCATTACACCTAAAGATAATACATACAGGATACACTTTTCTAGAAGTTAATTCCGTTTGATCATCAGTCTGCATATAAGAACATCTTGGTCCAAAAAGAAGGCACTATTAGTGATAATCTATTTAAAATATCGAAACAAGTGATTCTACGAACAGTGTCTTTTTGATGAATTCATTATCAAGCATCACAGTCGTCTATACATATATATATAGCTTCATACTTGAATTGTGAGAAAAATTAATTGGTTATGTACCTCATAAAAAGATTTCATTAAATGTAATAATCTCAGAGAGAGTGAAGAAAAAACAGGGATGCTAGCCAATTGAAACATAACGCAACAATGACTTCAAGTTATAGGCACAAAGTATAGGCACCATAATTTCAAAGATACTGTAAGTAGACAATTATTTAATGTTAAAAGATTAACTATTTATTTAGTTATTAGACAAAGAGATGGTGTTTTGATTTCGCTTGGAAACAAGGATGGACTAGAGACAAAATCCCAGATAGAGCAAGCAACAGAGTTAATTTATACATATTATGATGGAGACTTCAGGAGGGTAGGTGTGAATAGTGCAGTAAAATTATACAATAGATAAAATAATTTAATTTAGTATATTTAAAAACTTAATAGTGAGTTAAACTCATATTTATTTAAACAGAAAAGTGAAAATCAGAACCGAGAATGAGTGTTTTGTTCTGTTAAAAAACTCCAAAGCATAACATTTCATTCAATCTTGACAAAGCAAATTTATCTCAAGTTAAAAGGACATACTGAAAGTCAAAATAACAATGAAGGTGAATATGTTTGTCCTTCCTTTACTCAAACTAGGAAAGGTAACCGGCTGTAAGAAATGTGATACTTATTATTGTAAGACAGTAATGTTAAAATTATATAGAATTAAGTAATAGCAGTAAGTGAGATAATACCGGAAATTGTTAAAAATGAAAATAATAGCAACAATCGACAATTTATTCACTTGTACGAAACCATTCCAGGATTCGAAGGCTGCGAACACATCTTTAAATAAAATTTTATGGTGAAATATTATCAGATATTCATAATCAGTGTACGACATGGCACAACTGTGCATGACTTCAAACTGTAATACTTTCATTCGCAATAGTTAAGCATGATTGGCAATATTAAATTGTGAAGAAAAGTTGCAAATTAAACCACACACGATAATTTTAATCATAAGATGATAAACGACATTTAGAGGAAGATTGGCTATACCCATCCCTGCACCATAGTACATAGTTGTGAACGACACCAAACAAAGTCTTTATCGAAGAATTCTGATTGTTTTTTACTACGCAGGCAGGTAGTCACCAACGTCGTTATTTAATGTTACATTATACACTGGTCCCTTTTTTTAATAGTAACCAAAGCCACATGAATAGCGTATGCTGACGTGGGAAAGTAGCAAATTATACGTGACAGATATAAAGACTATTTCAGTCAAAAAGGGTTATCAATCTTATTAGTCGACTATTTATGTAAGAAATTTGGTGCAACATGAGAAAAAAATTGAAGATATTATTTTAGGAATTTAGTTATGCCTCACATCTACTATCTTTAAATTCCAAGGGAAAATATATCGACAAACAGAAGGTGTAGCAATGGGATCACCAATATCCCCTATCGTAGCGGATATATTTATGGACAGCTGGGAAAATATTGCTCTCAATACATTTAATCCTACTCCAAAAATATGGTGGAGATATGTGGATGACACTTTCACTCACATTGTTAAAAGCAGAACATATCTCCAGCTTCTTGACACATATAAACTCACTAATACAGGGAATAAAATTCACATTTCAATCGGAAAATAAACAAGGAGAATTAGCTATGTTAGATTGTAAAATAAAACGAATAGAAGAAGGTAAGCTGCTCACTAGCGTTTATAAAAAACCAACGAATTTCTAATAGGTATTTAGGCTTTAATTTATCTCACCCGTTAACTGTTAAAACAGGCTTAGTTAAGTGTCTAACATACTGAGCAGTAGCACTAAGTTGTACAAGAAAAGACCTAAATGATGAAATAAAACAGATAGAAGAAGCGTTGGTGTTGAATAACAATCCTATAAAATTCATAAGGAAGATAAGAAAAGACCAAAAGCAAAGTAATAATTGTGAAGCTAGTAATGATAAAATAAATAAGAGAGAATATAAGGCATCTCCTGTTATACAATATAAGGTGGAGACATCTGAGACCCTACATAGGATTCTTAATAAAGCAGGAATTAGGGTGGCATTCAAACCTACAAATTCACTCAGAGACAAGCTCTCTAGGCTAAAAAACCCGGTGGACCCAATTAAACAAAATAATATAATTTACAAAATACCTTGCAATGACTTTTAGTGAGTCCAACTACATAGATCAAACTAGCAGATCGGGGGTAATCAAATTGTTGGAACATAAACATTTAGCTAAGGTAAAAATGGTTGACCCCGAGAAGATAAGTAATTTAGAAAAAAGCTCAGCAGCTGCACTGCATGCAATAACACACAATAGGGTGGGAGAAGGTTAAGATTCTAAGAAGTAATCTATGTAGGTGGAGAGAGAGATTGATTACTGAATCCTAGTTCACTGAGTCTACATGCAACAGAAATGACTCAATGCAAATACCAGAAATATGGAAGATATTATTACCGTCAGTCAAATCAGAAGAGGATAATAAATAATCTCAAAATTCTATTTCGATTGAAGTACATCACAACATTCTAACGAGTTATTTACTATGACTATAAAAACACTCGTCTTATTTCCCATCTGATTGTAATTGATCAATAACACTCATAATATTAATTCTGAATGTACATTATCCTATATTGATTTTTATTCAAATATCTAGTCAACTCCATACACGTATATAAATGAAGGAAAAAAGTTGTGTGAGTAACTTGATATTATGAACAATAGTTTGTCCTCGAAACGTCATCAGTTAATATTACTGTGTAACATTGTGTGACTTACCAAAATAAAATCTTATCCATAATGGAGCAACATGAAGAGCATTTCTAACAGCCGGCTGCACATTTTTACCAACTGCTGCCGGAAAACACACAATCGCCTTCATACTACCGCCGATAATATTTCTACGTGCGGTCAACCCATAGCAAACTATTGGGTTATGTCATCCTGCAGAAAATAAGAGATGATATGGATGCGGAACTCCACCAACCAACAACAAGCTGGATACAGGAAAAGCAAATCACATCCTGATCAAATCGTCACACTACGAATCACCATCGAACGGAGCATACAATCCCAATCAAATCTCTACATCAACTTCATCGAATTTGATAAGGCATTCGACAGCATCGACCGTGAATTATTGATGTGTGAACTGCCAAAACACCTGCAATCGTCTCCAACCTTTATCAACCGCATTCAACAACAATGCCACACGTCAAGTGTCCAACGACGGTAAACCCAGTGAAGACTTCTAAGTGAAGACAAGAGCTAGAGGAGGTTGGCTGTCCATTCTCACTAATGATATTCCTAATTATGGTGGACTGGATTATGTAGAACACCGTCCGTGGAAAACGACAAGTTAGGAATACGTTACACCGATAAGAAGGCTATAGAAGATCTGGATTTCTCGGACGATCTATGTCTAATGTCACACTAACTAGAAGTCTTACAGTGGAAAACCAACAAGTTCGCACAAGTGGCTGGTACCGAACACAGCACTTCAGGTGATGAAGATACCACCACCAACAACAACAACATTAACAACAACAAGCACAAATCACTAGCGACCAGAGACACCCGAAAGAGGACATTTCCTCCACTTATCTCGGAAGCACCGTTTCAACTATAGGAAGTCGAAACAAACGAAGATGTCAAAGTCAGTATCGGAAAGGCAACACACACGTTCATCATTCTGAAATCAGGTTGCAAATTTTCCACACTCAACATCAAGACAAAATATTCGGATTCCTGATAACAATGTTAAGACTGTCAGTTCCTCTATATGGGTTAGAAACTTCCAGCGTCACGAAAAGCATTTCCAACAACCAGCTGCACACTTTTATCAGCACCTGTCGCCACCACCAGGCCCATACCCAAGATCAGATGGCGAGAAAGAATTAGCAACAAGAAACCAACCAAGAAATTATTGCTCAACAAATACGCACAAGGAAATGAAGGTGGAACAGACAAATACTGAGGAGATCGTTGGGTGACATCGCGCGACAGTGTCTTGAATGGAACTCAAATGGGAAACGGCGATTTCCGTGTCCGAGGGTGACGTGTAGGAGATGACAGCTTATGAGGAATAGTGGAGCCAGATATATAAAGAGAACTGCGGAGAACAGGACAAGATGGCTATGTGCTGTTGAAGCCCTACATCCTACTCGGAACCCAAGGGAATAATAGTATTTGCAAACTCAGCATCGTTAATTCAAAAACACCCACCAGTAAAAGTAAATAATACTAAAAATATAGTGAT